ATATATCATACTTTTCTTCATGTATACATTATAGAACACAAGAGAAGGGAAAACAAGCAATCACAGAAATGTCGTCTTTGAACCCAACTCTCTACAATCAATATCAAAATTCATACACAAACACAATGATCCAGCAGGTAAAAAAATTTCATCTTATCATTGGACCAGCTGTAATTTGTTTTCTTTTTGATGAAAATGAACGATACAACCACTTGAAGAATGAGATAATGTCTAGTACACACGTGATATTGTCAACTTTTGGTTTCTAATATTGCAGAGTGGAGTTTTAAAACAACGTAGTTGTTATGATCAACTTGAAAACGAATGCTCATCGTCTAAAATGAGGGTAAGCACATGAATTCTCGCAAACATAATTTATTTTTTCAAAGCATAGAAAGTTATAAGAGTGTGAATGAATCAATTATAATGCTGCAGAGGATCATGCTCCCGCTTCAAGAAAAAACTATAGCAGATTCATCAACTGTTTCATTTTGGCAAGATGGAAATATGAGTTCAAGTGCAGCCAATGACCAGGACCAGGATGAAGACAGGTTTGTTTATTCAAAATGTAATTATATAAGTAATTAATATTGTAAATATATAAATTTCTCTTTAAAATCTTAAATAAACAAAACAAAACTTTTGGAAATATTACTTATACATTTACTTCTTCTTTTAGGTTAATAAAAAATACAATGTACGATCCATTGTACGCAGGTGTTGGATTACCCATGGATCCTCATTTGAGGCGCTGTTGATTAAATATATTGAAATGGTAACTCTCTTATATTTTACTATATAATATAGGATCTGTATATAAAAATAAAATTGTAACCAAATATTACATTCTAATCATTTGTATTATTCTCTTTTCGCAGGGCAAAATAATTTCCATGTTTGAAGAATCAAATATATATATAATGGAAAAGTATTTCAAGACCATCACTCCAAATCATATAACCAACTAGATGTATACAATAGTTTGTAATCTAGTGGTTTATTATATACTTATAGTGTTGTTATTTGCCCAAAAAAAAAAGACTTATAGTGTTGTCTCTATATATATATCGCTATCCAAATTTACTACATTCGATAGTGCGTATGCGCGATGTAGAAAAAAAAACAAGCATTTAATCTAAAGTATTACTGATAATAATAGTTGGATCCAAACTAATTTTCTTGCGTTGTGTGAGTAAACAAAAACAGCCTTCAACACTTTATTCAAAAGAAAATTAGCCTTCAAGGGAAGAAAGGGCCGGAGGCCTATAAATAGCCCGCTAAACGCTAGAATGGACCCTAGCCCAAAGAGTGATAATGAAGTTTATGGTAATCAATAATCTGACAAGAACCTGCGACATTTGCCATCTCCCACGATAAATCTAAAGGATAGGTTTTTATTTTAGGCCTGATTTCAATAATCTCTCATACTCTACTCTATTGAAAGTAAATTTGTAGAACAAAATGTGAGCTCAAGTAAAATGAGAACGTTAAAGCTCGAATGTAATGAAAATCTTGAAGCCAGACATTGTTATTTGTGTATATGGAATTGATAAGGGATATTCTACCAATCTCCGGTGAGATTCTTAGTTTCTTATACATACTATATTCTTTATAAGCATTATAAGTTGTTTACTATGAGGCTATGAAAGGCTTTTCGCTTGATTTCTTTTATAACTCTAGTGCATGGAGGAAATATCCTTTTTTAAAAAGGACACTTTTAATATAAACTTGTGAATTAATGATACCTTCTCAAATTTTATCCATACTTCAACTATTTTGTTTTTGTTCCTATGTTATGGATATCTTTGCTTTTGACTAATAATAATAAGCTGCTTTGGGAATCATCAAAATACATAATGCTTATTTTATTCATAAAAAGAAAAAACTTTCTATTACTGTCTAACAAGAAAAATATCTCCAGAGCTCATCTCATCACATTTGACTTTATTCTTTCAAAATCTTTAAAATGTCTCACTTTCAGATAATGTTGATCTTGGTACAGCTTGTGGCAACAAGTACTTCCGTGTGTCGATCCTGGTAAGTAAACTATTGAATACATTATAATTTCACCAGTTTCAAATTTATTTGTTTCTTCACCGACTTCTATAGACCTGAAAATTCATATACTAAGCAACAAACCAAAAAAAAAACTGATGTTGTCAATTTATCTCGTTTCAGGTGATTCAGACATTGTAGTAATTTACTCTGATTTAACTCTGGTGATCAGCAACAGTGGTTTAACTCTGATTTTCGAATAACTTTTTCTTGGATTTTGTCCCATCTTTAATTGGCGTCTCAGAGCTTTAAAATTTGGAATTCTTAACTAAAGACCACTGTGTGTTTAGGTTTCTCCCGAACTTCAATCTTTTCATATAAGCAATTGGGTAAAAGAATGTACATAACATTAAATTGAAGCCAACTATTAGACAAGTAATCCATTGTGATATATAGAATTCATTTAAGATTTTAAAGAATTCATTAAAATCTTCTTTATTCCACTACATGATAATTTTAAAATATTTATATATTGAATAATTTAAAATATGAATTTCAATATATTTTCTAAATAGTAACATCTAAAATATAACATGAAAATTTTAAGAGTCTCTACATACATGCATGAATACACCTAACTAACTTTGAATCATCCAACGAAATAACCCTTCTAAATATACAATTCTACAGAATTGCAGTTTTTAATTAGGTGGCTTTCTTCCCATCAACAAAAATCTTAATCCACTTTTGTCATTTTTTCTTCTTTCGAAGTTCTGTCATTGTGGCTATCAGTTAAAGTCATTATTATCCTTTGGATGAGAAAATAGGGAATAATAAATTCCAAATTTTTTTATTACCATAGACATGCTGTAAAATAAGTTAAAGGAGTTATCCATAACCCCAAAAATTAGGAAAGGTTAAGGATTTACAGCAGGCGAGAGAGGAACGGCCGACTTGGTTAAACATCCTAATCTTAATCCCTCTCACTTCGCCTAATTTTAAGCATTTTTCTTCTTTCCTTTTTTTAATATGATTGCAATTAATATTTATTGATAATCTTTCCTTAATCCCAAAAGATTAGATAATCGAATTAATTGATAGTATATCTTATCGATTCCCTTTCGACGAATTAAATTCTCTTCTGCTTCGTTGTGTGTGCGTGTATAAGAGAACAAAAACTTCGCGTAACGTTCATCCTTCAACCTCTCAGAGGAGAAAACTCGTTTGCTTATCCCATGTATACAGGTAATTAATTAATCATTTGTTCGATTTAATTATCTTTTTTTACATTATTTGTATCGCTTTGATCATTTCAATATTTACATTCAATCTGTTTCGTGTTTGATACCTATCCTATTTGATTTATGATTCACGCACGACGATTCGTTTGAAATCTGACTAGGGTTTGATTTTGATATTAATCATTCCTTTTTAGTTTTAAAACGCTAATTTCTAGCTAAAACAAATAAGAATCTTTGTGATTACTTTTAGAATTTTGGTTTAAATCGTTGTTTGAATCCCTGGAAAAGAAAGATCTTCGTGGAAGTCGGCTTCGTTTTTTTTTTTTAAAATTAAATAGAGGTACGCGTAGCATGTTCGATTTGACCAATGCGTTTATGGATTTTTTTTATTAAACTCAAATAATTAATTCTTAAATTTAACCAGTCAACAACTTCACTATTTCGTGAAGCGTATTTGCTTTTTGCGTTCAAGAATAGACAGATTCCGTTTAAATCATTAGAAAAACAATAACAAAGTATTGGCTTGATGAGGCGAGAACCAGAAAACGTGTAGCTTTCAATGAAATCGAAGTTGTCTTTTGGTTTTATTATAACGTTTCTAAAACTTTTAGCAACAGATTTTGGCTGTTTTTAGTCTCCGTTTCATTTTTACCGTTTATTAGTATTTTAAAGCCAATTCTTAAGCCATAGACGTTTTGAAGGTCATAGCTTCTTGTTAGGGACCATGTTTCTTTTTACCTATCCATTTTTTTTTCTTCTATTGATTCATCTTTCAGTAAAAATAAAATGGTAACTAATTGGTTCACAGAGAACATATCCAATATATATGATTAATTTAACACTATGCGTTTAAACATATACTCATTCCTACATCCACCAACTTAAGTTGTTTAAATATAGGCCATTATTTTTGTAGTTGTACTTGTATATTTTACGTGGTTGGAAATAACTTAAATTCTGCATCATCTTTGTATCTAGCTAATCAATTATTAGTTGAAGTTTTTTTTTTTTTACAGTTAAAGAAATTGGTTAGAGTTTAGCTAGCTGTACATTTATGATTATAGATTTTAATTTGTAAATTACAAACAAAATCTTAGAGATTTTAAAGTTTTAGAGTTCAAGTTTCTTATAAACAGAGAGAAGTGTGAGGATCTCTGGTAGTTAGATTTACTGTTCTTAAAAAATGATTTACTATCAAAAGTATGATATGATATTAGACGTTGTGAGATATAAATGAAAGTTACTCCCACGTTTGTATGCTCTTAAGCTTTTTGTTTTTTTTTATGAACTAGTTATAAGTGATAGAGACTGTTATGGTGAATATACATTACGCATTTTTGGGCATTTGCAAATTCATATACAGAAGACTTTGATTCATTGGATAAAAGAAAGGTGTGAGTAGAAATTCTAAGAAACTTCTAGATGCTGTACCGATCAGGCATTTTAGTTTTTATATAGTTTTTGGTAATGATGACATACTCGAATTTGTTAGCAAAAAGTTTTATTTGGGTCTATTTTGGTCTAATATACATTTCCTTATTTTCCCATTGACAGGAAAAAAAACATTAAATGTCACAGATTCTCAATAATATCTCAGAGACCATCCCTTCAATGACGTCACCACCTTCGCTTAGCTGTCTCCCTATTTAAAATCCCTCCATGCAACTCTAACATCCCATTATTATTAAAAATAAAGAAAAACAAAACCCAGAGAAAAAACATTTTTGGGTTTTGTTTTTTTTTATTTATTTAAAAATCCAGAATATGGAGAGAGCCTCTTCTTCCTCCTCCGACTCATCGTCGTCATCCATGGCTCCTTCTTCTTCTTCCGATCAGTCTCTTTCCACCAATTCCGATCAAACCTCACCTCTCATGACGTCATCCATGCTATCCCGCACCACGTCATCATCTTCTTCCAACGCCGTCGATGACTACATCGGCACAGAGAGCTGCTTCGACATTCTCGAAGAAAACGATGTCGTTTCCGCTTCTGAGCCTCTGGTAAACCGGTATCGCTACGGAGGAAGGAGGAGAGAGGAGAGAGAAGCCAGAGCTGCGGCGGCGCGTGAGTTTCCTCCGCCGATACCGTTGCTAGCTCAGACGGAGAATCTCCTGCCTCACATGCCGTGGGTTCTCAAGCGTGTGGTGACGAGCGACGGGAGGCTTATACTCAGAGAAGAGAAGGTTCGTCATCACGAGTATTTCCGTGCGCATAGATCCAACGGTCGTCTCACTCTCCACCTTGTTCCTCTAGACGACGATGTTTTCGAGCTTCCCCTAGAGCCGACTCATTACCAATCTGATGATGATGATGAGGATGATGGTGGTGATTATGATCAGGATGATGATGACCATGAATGTGATGATGATGATGAAGAAGTTCATCATGAGGTGGGAGATGATTTGGATGATCTTGCGGATAATGTTAGTAAAGGTGTTATAATTGCTGCCCCTAAAGATGATGATGATGATGGTGATAAGGGCAATGTGCATGGTGGTAGTGAAGATGGATATAGGAAGGCTATATTAGCGGCGGAGACGGCGGTGGAGAGCGGAGGGATGGTCGGGGGAGGAGGATCGCCGAGGGGAAAGTGTTTGAAGTCTTGTTTTGTTGGTATACGAGTTCAAGAGATCAGACCAGTTCTTAGTTGAGATTATTATTGTTAATTAGTCCTTATTAGCTTCTTTTTTTGGGGGTGGAAAACAAATATTTCAATCGCAGAGAGTTATAAAAAACTACCGGCTTAATATAAATGAATATCAGAGGGTTTTTTTTTTTCATAAAGAATTGTTACCTGCTTGTAATTTTAGAGGGTAATTTATCTTCTTTGAGGGTTTTTGTAGGATATTTAAACTTTTTTAAGCGGGTTAATAGTTTTGTCGGTATGTGAGTGATGTTTTTTTAAATTTTATTTTTAAGTTTTGAGTTTATCTGGCCGGGTGAAATGCGATGGAAAATACATACACTTGTAAGAGAAGATAATTTTAAAAATCGAATCGTACCAAATCTCCTTTAAGGGAAAATATTGGAAATGTTGAATACAAATTTCGAAAGAGCAAAATGCAAAAAAATCGAAGAGAAAACATACACAGCTAATATTCGATATACCATATGGTGCAAACAGCTAATATTTGTTTTCATTTTTGGAGATAAATAAATAAATATATATATCTAGGCAAATTTACGAATTGACTTACACCTTAAATCCAGCGAATGTTCATTCTATTTATCACTTCAAAAAGAAGTAGAATTTATCCATGTTCAAGTAAAAGAAACGGCGTCAATTCGAGGAAGAAAGGAGAGACTTGTACATATGTACGGTTTGTAAAAGTATTTACAAAATTTATATATTAACGTTACCAAAAAAAAAAATATATCGGAAAAAGAGAAGCCAATAAGGAAGAATAAAAGGTACGGAGAAAAATGAAGTACAGCTAAGATAGAAAGATAGAGTTTCCCGATGAAGAAGAAGACTGATTATTAAGACAGTGTCTTCTGTTCTGTCTTTTCTCACTTCCTCTTCCTCCTCATCATTGGTCTCTCCCACCACCTGATCTCTTGTCTTCTTTTCCCTCCGGTTTACTCTCTTAAACCGGCCTTCTTCTTTTCTCTCTACAATCCTCTCAAAATTACAACTACTTCAATCTTTTAACCGGTCGGTCTGTCTTCTCACTCTCTATAATCCTATCAAAATTACAACTAATTCAATTTCCGGGAAAAATTAAGTGGCTAGTTGAAAAATGAATACATTTTTAACAATAATCAAAAGAACCTTAATTCATTTTTAGAATAATTAATTTACTTTTGGGATACAATAAAAATTTCGTTGTTTCTGAACTCTGAAGTATGCATCTTGAAAAAATTATATTGGTCTCTCGAATATACTGTATATGTTTTGCGGCTTTTGCCTATTAAATATGTTCATCTCAGAAAAGCCGGCTATGCCCGGATTTTGATCGATATACAGTATTTGGTTAACAACTAATTAGGTTTATCATGTGAAGGGCTATAATAAACGGGAACCAGCTAGGTGAAAATTGATTAGGTTTATCATGTATACATAATTAGAAGTTAGGACTTAGGACCATCAACTTTTTCTATAAACCTTAAAATATATCGAGTTACTGTCGTAACTATTTGTCACAAAAGAGTGGCTTCGGCCTTGAGTTGTGGTGCCTTGTGGTGGTGGAAGCTTCGTGAAGGAATTGGAAAATGTTGAGAAGATGGAAGATGTACAACATGTTTAAGAAATGAAAAAAAGTAGAGAAAGTTCAACACACATTTATCTAAACTAGATATTTTACTATGAAAATAAACTCCGTAATAACACCTTACGAAATTTTTCTGTGTGAAGATCTATGGCTACAAGAAGAGAACCGGACTTTGCCAACTAATACAGTGATCCATTTGCAAAGATTGATGATGTTTCATCATAGCTAAGTTGATTGTAAAAAATAAGGGAATAGATTTGTCTTCTTTCGCCATCGACCATCGTTGAGGTTAAAGACTTCTTCCATGACAATGTGATCGACTGAGTACATCAAGATTAGTTTGTATGTTCGTGTAACAATGTCTCTTCCGAATCCCACGCCAAATGGCAATTGACCCGACCAACCTAAGAGAGAAACAAAAAACAGACGTTGTTGAAAATAAAATATCTATGGGATTATTTTAATCTTCTTAACGTAACAAATGGTTAAAGAATGACGAATATAATATATGCGTGTCTCAAGTAGTCTATGCATGTGTGAATATATGCATACAAAAGGAATTTGATTAATTAGCACACTAAAAAATCTACGGATTTGATATAGTATATGCGTGTGTTATAAGTCTGTTTCGTACCTGCTTGGCCCGTATACTCTCTCGAAAGCTCAGGAGAAAGAGTTCGGAGTTTTCTTGTTGCAGGGACGTTAATCAGAAATATATGCCCAAGATCGTAGATGCAGACTAAACCGTTGCAATAACCCACTATTCGACCAATCATATAATCGAACGTTGGATATGAATGTGGAAATTTGTAAGAATAGATAAGGATTTTGCTGTGGTGATCATTATCATCTCTTGAAATATCATCCAAAAAGATGTTTTTGAACAGCGATCATTAGATATTTCCGACCGAAGAAGAACACGTTTCGGATTTGGGAATGGGGCAAGACGTTTCTTGGCGAGATTGGTAGATTCCATCATTGTTTTCCATTGTGTAGATCACGGATTTGAATCTCAATAGAGTTTTTAATTGGAAGGCGCTCCAGAGTTTCTTCTTCTAGTATGTCATCCATTACAAATTTGCAAAAAACTGTTTGGGTTGGATATGTCTTTCTTCATTGTTTGCATGCAATGGTGAATTCGCTTCACATCTTCTCTTTCTTACGTTTCCTTTTTTTTTTTAGTTTTTATTTGTGTATTCATGTGAAAGTTTTAGTAATATTTTATTTAAAAGTTGACTGCTTAAACCTCTCTTTATAATACTGCTTCTGCTGCAATCCCTAAATTTAAAAATTATTGATTTTCCCACTTGAATTCATATATTTAATTATATTGTCTCCTAAACTATTTTTTCTGCTCAATTCCATCTGCAATATTAAATTTTAAAAATAACGATAAATTAAATAAAATAACGTTTAAAAGATATGATTAGCCATAACTCAAACCAGATAAACAAAACTCGATCCGCCTAATAATCCAAATTTAAGAATAATATATATACCTTGAATAGATACAGAATACTTTGAGTAGTTACAGAAATAAAATATTACCGACTACCTTTCCTTTTTTCTAAGTTTGAACTAAATAAAATATTAACAAAAATAAATAAGAATTTTGTAACTATTGTATCAAAAATTACAGAAATTGATAGAAAAGATTAGGGTTAACGAGTTATATCCCTCTCAATACTATCATATAGCATCAAATTTGCACAAAGTTTGTATTTCTATCTAAAACTACACCAATTTAAAGTTTCAGACCTAATTTCACATAAAATTAAAATTTTAAATCCAGAACTACACTAATAAGAACTTCGCATTTTGATTTCAAGCTTCTAAAATCAAGTTTCTCAATCAATTGAAAATCGATTTGAATCCCATTAAGAATGTGGCCACGTGATTTATTTGAAGATCCTCTTTGAAGAGATATAGCTTGCCGATCCGAAAGATTATAACAAACAAATGGGTGTGTACCTACTACCCAAAGCAGAGAACGGGAGATCGTAGGCACAATTATTAATATAGTATAGTGTAAGGAGACGCGTGGTAACAACTGATTGAGCTAAATACACATGATCATAAATGAAAGAACAATCTCAGAAATTAAAGATTTGTAAAAAATAATCATTTATTTAAATACTAATAATTTATTATTAAGATACTCAAATGAGTATCTAAAATAAGGGAGATACTCTAAAAAATTTTTTTAATAAAGCCTTTTCCCTCATAGTTTATTTATTCATAAGTCAAAATTGATTGATTTTATGAATGGTCAATTTGGCGTATATCTATATATATTGGATCTCATATTAAAAAATATAGCAATGTTTGTTTTCGATTTAACCATTCTCGCTAATCATAAGCATTTTTGATTTGACGTAAAAAAAAAACCAAAAATAAGAAGAGAATTTTGTGTTTTGATTGAGATGGAGAATTTTCTTGAACCAAAAGATGCAGTTGATTGGTCTTATAGAGGCGAAGGAGCTGTTAATTTGGTTCTCGCTTACACTGGATCTTCTCCCACTTTCGTTAGTCTCTTCGATCTCTCCTCTTTTTTTTTTTTTTTATTAATTATTTCAATTATTTTGATTCTGTTCTTAATTTGATCGTCTCGGGATTAGGAAGATGAAGTCCACATTGTTTCTCACTTTTTTTTCCCTCATTTTCTGTTTGGTGTTTTCTATACAATTGTGAGTGAAGTTGGGAAAGATGATGAGGATACATAAAATGCCGAACGCTGGGAAAAAGGAAAACGAAGACAACACGAGTGAGAATGGTCTTACGACTCATGAAAAGCTTATTTGGGGAGAGGTCAAGGATCTTGTTTCTTGCCAGAACAAAGAGATTGTTGAGTATTTGTACGTCAAACATGTCATGAGACCTTTGTTGGGTCATAGACATGTCAATCCTGGTGTATGTTTTCCTTCTCTTGTCATCATAATATGGAGAAGGTTGCATTTGTGATGTTCTTTAAAGAGTTTTTGTTTACTGTCTTGTTGCAAAATGTTGCAGATGCGTCTTCTTGTAGCAAATGAGTTTCTTGAGTCTGTTGAGAAGATTGTGACATCTCAGAGACCTTCTTGGCGAGCTGATGCAGCCAGTGTCGATACTAGTCGCAGTTCCGTGCTTCTCATGGATGATTTGACACTTTTCGCCCACGGTTATCTCCTAACGATCTCTTCCTCTTGCTTTGATTGTTTTATAAAACAAGAAAGACTAATGTGAGCTTTCTTGTAAGTTGTTACTTGATACGTTAATGATCTCCTCTGTTTTCAGGTCGTGTTGAGGATAAACCATGCTTAAGTGTTGAAATAAAGGTGTTGATGATCATTTTTTTCTTTCAACTCTTGTTAGAGATTGAAATGCTTTTATATCGGCTAATATACATTGGCCGTGTTTGCTCTGATGAAGTAGCCCAAATGTGGATTCCTTCCATCTTCAAGTTTCATAGCAGAGGAAAACGTCATCAAGAAGAGTATAACTCGTTTCGAGATGCACCAAGCTCTTAAGCTTCAAGAAAACGAGGTACTTCCTTCTCCTTCTCCATTACATCTCTCTGAATCCATAAAACACCGAACCTAACTTGTGTGTTTGTCGCAGATCTCAGAGATCAGTGAATACGATCCCTTGGACCTTTTCTCTGGATGCAAAGAGAGGATACACAGAGCAATAGGAGCTCTCTACGCGACTCCTCAGAACAACTTCCGAGTGTTCTTGAATGGTTCTCTTGTGTTTGGAGGATTAGGTGGTGGTATATGCAAAACGACCTCAAAGGTTGACCAGGCTTTTGAGCATCTGCTCAAAGATATCATCAAGACCGAGGATGGTCTGCGTGCGAACCACTTCATAGAGCTTGTCGCAGAGACCGTTTACGCATCTGGAGTTATTGATCAGCTTCTAGACGTTCAGAAGCTCGACAGGTACAACATCGAAGGAGCGATTCACGTGTACTACGACTTGATAGACCAGCCTTGTAAAGTGTGCAGAGAGTTGGAGAAAGTGTGCACAACGTTACCGGATCAGTTTAGTTCCATGCATTCGATTCCGATGGATGAGAAAGTGAATGTTTTGAAAGAGTTCTTGATATCTGCCACTGCAAAAGATTGTAGTGTGATGATAAGCTTTAGATCAACAGATGACGGGATCTCAAGATCCTCTTCCCACAGTAATCTGCATCTTGAATCAGCAAAGCAAGAGTTTGATTACAAGGTAAAAAAAAAAAAGAATACTTAAAAATATTTTTGCTTTTTGTTGAATTTGCTTCTCTTACAAAAGCGTCCGTGCAGGTGCACTTCATTGATCTTGATATGAGACCTTTAAAGAAAATGGAAGTCTATTACGAATTAGACAAGAAGATCATGAACACATACCTAGAGATGCTGAAGAAGAAAGAAAGTTGCTGATTGGTTTGTAAGCATTCTTGTGTTTTGTGGTTTTACTCAAAAATTATCAGTCTCCTACTGCTTTCACTATCTTTCACAACACGGAAGATTACATTACAAACATGCTTGGATTGGTTTTCTTGCACAACAAACACGCTTGGCTTATTTAGCATTTGGTTTCATACATTATGTAACGCTACAACATTCTGTGTGGTTTTAAATTATGAGTTTAGGTTATAGAACAAGATTCTTAATTATAAAGGAGGACACATGTGAGAACAGGGGAGTTGGGGACATGCAAACCCTATATATTTATACAAATATAAAGAGCCTTATTTTATCAAAAACATCAAATGTGTCCACCCAAATTTACATTTTTTTTTCATTAAAGCAAAACCAAAACATCAGTGAGGAAGATGATGCTGCTCTAATGGAGAATCAATCACTCTTACCTCTCCAAACACTTTCTCTCACAGATAATGAAAGTCACTAGCTAACATCTTTCTTCTGCTACTGTTCTCTTTGTTTTGCCTCCTAAACTTGCTAAGTGTGTTCTCGTGGACGAGCTGCCCATAGAGAACTAAGAGCACGAAGCCTGTGGAAGTACTCTCCTAATGCGAGCAAGCCTCGAGCAGCCTGTCTTGTCGTCAAGATCTTACTCATTTGCTGCAGAGTCTGCTGTCTCAGATGATCCGCCTGTTCCAATACAGAGACTCCTTTTTGTCAAAATTAGACAGAGAAAAAGACGCGAGCTTATGGATTCAAGAAGACATTGGAGATTGCAGAAGCACAAATCTACACACTAAAGAACTTGGCCGCATTACCTGATTCGCAAAAGTCTCCAACGCTTGAAGATTCTCCATGGCTGAAGCCATTTGAGCCCCTTGATTCACAGACTCAACAACTCTAATTTGAACTGCTATGCTTTCGACCAACCCCTGCTGAAGTTTATCTAAGCCTTGAGAGAGAGCTTCCTCTGCTTGCTGAGACGACTGTTGGAGGTTTCTCACCTCCAAGAGTTGCTGATCGGTTAATGGCTCAACGTATGGCATCACAACCTAAGACAAAAAACAAACGTTGAGATTGTGTTCTGAAGAGTGGAGACTGTAATGTAAGAGGTACAAGAAACTGGCTTTACATTTAACAGCTCGGACGGTCGGAAACCTCCAATCCACTGGAAGAAGCGTTCAGTTGAAGTCCGCCACATTCCGGATATCAAGAAGAACACATCAGCCTTTGCAGCATCAGCTTTCATGCGGAAGAGATTCCCGTAGTGCTTCAAGCAAGTATCAACCAGCATTCTGAGCTCAATGTCGCTGATATGAGCCTGGAGCGCTGTTCGAACCTCACTAACTCTCTTGTTTTGCTCTTCTAGCCAGTGTGTGTATTCCATCTCAAATGCAGCAATCCCTGAAAAAAAGGTTTCATTCACAGAAAGATTCTTCTCTAAGGTACTATAGACTCAGAGATTAAGCAACCGTCAACATATATTTAGTGATATAAACACCAACCTGTGTTCATGGTCCCAGCTGGTCCTAGATAACTCGTATCTGATGAATTCCGTACGCATAATCCCTGAAAATACAAAAAAACAAAATCACTGAGTCCGTATGCAAACAGATAAAGTTTGATGAACACAAATGCTTGAGAACTCACCTGTTGCCTAGCTCTGACAAGTTCTTGCTCGAGCTGTGATAACTTTAACCGACTTTCTTCCAACTGCTGAACATGTGCCTAAAGGTATAGACATAAACTCTGCATAAGCTTTTTTCCTTCTTCACCACCACAAGAAAAATTCCACCAAGGGGACCTATCTTACCTTCTTTCTCAAACGGCTTTTGCGAGCAGCTTCTCGATTCTGAGCCAATCGCCGTTTCATCTGTGCATACAGAACGAACAACAACAACAACAATTAATGTCATCACGCCGTGTTTCCCGAAACAAAGAGATCATTTGCCTAAAATGCTAAAAACCAACCACTCTTGTTTCATCATTATCTAATCGAAATGCTATAACTCTTCTTGTTTACCTTATCGTTGATTTGGTCTTCGTCCTGATCATTGTTACTAGAAGGCTCTGCTTCAACAGAGTTATACAAAGAAGTATAATTTGCCTGCGCGTATATGGCAACTATTAACAAACAAGAAACCAGTCTTGAACATGATGAATCTGGAAGAAAGCAAAAAGGAGATACAATCTGACCTTATTTTTATCACCTGCTTCTGCTCTAGCATCCACCTCAAGAACTGTTGAAGAACTCTGATTGTTGTTCTGATTACTAGTAGTAATAGTGTTGAAAGCATTTTCCCAACCAGATAACTGCTGGAATGGTTCATACATCCCCATGTCTCTGAATGATACGGCTTGTGTAGAAGAAGAAGAGCTCATCATCTGTAAAGTCAATAATTACAAACTCAGACTTAAAAAGGATTCACTACTCTCAACAAGCAGAAGAGAGAAGAAGAAACAGTGTTTCTAAGTTCGCCTTTCAACAGATACAGATCCAATAACTACCCCAAAATTACATTGCTTGCTAAGACGACCATAAACAGAACAAGCTCTGCATCAATCTCTCAAAGGTTGAAACTTTTATAACTAATAATAACCAAAACCAAACTCCTCAAAAATTGAGCCTTTGAAGAAAAACTACCAAAAAGAGCAATACCCACGAAATAGAATAGTTACAAATTTGACTCAAAACAAAGGAGGAGAAGGAAATTGCAAGTTTTTTTTCCAAAGCAATCAAGCATCGGTGAAACAAACCAACCTCCATTGAAAAGCAGAGAAATTCATCACGAATCCGAGAGATGAACAGTGAATCTCCAGCTGAAACGCATTCTTGGGTATATTCCGCTCAGAGAGAGAAGGAGAAATGATGAATTGGTCAAAACTTAGAGGTGAAGCGTACACATCACTGAAAGAAAGAAGAAGAGAAGAAGGAAAAAAAAAAGCAAAGATATTTTTGCTTCTTTCTTTTGAATATATATTTCTCTTTGCTTTGATTTGTCCATGAGCGTAGAATAATAAGCAAGTTGAAGTAAACGAACGATGAACGACAAAAGCGCCTGGAGAAAACAAATCGAGAGAAGAAAAGTCGAAGTCTCTTTCCTCTAAACCAAAAAGCTGACCCTTACCTTGCGCTTACTTGTCTAAAATACGCGTGGGATGATGTCACCCACTGGTGATGAGCTGGATTCTCGCCGGCGGTGCCGACACGTCGACTGTGGTGAGGGGAATATTCCAGCCGGCTCCACAGTTTCGTGGAGAATTATTCGTTTTTTTTAATGTGTAACACATTTTTAGAATCTGAATCTCACATAATTATATATTCGTTTTTAATTGAAAAGAAATACAGAACTGTTCGAGGATTAACATATAGTTACATTAAGAAAACTATTTTTTGTTATTAGTTTTTTTCCTATAATTTTAAACATAAATTTATCAGGTAATTGTTTTAGTCAAATTTTTATTATTATTTTATTTCCAGAATTGAATAATATTACCTGTAATTTAGGTCGCATTTTATGGGACAAGTGTGCAAGATTAATATGTTAATAATTTTATTCGCTTTATTCTGGAGGGTCTCTAATCATGTTATGCAGTGGTGGCATCTTTAAGCACCACTTCTTCGCATAGTGAGAAATAATTGGGCCTTTGGTGACCTACCCAACTCTAAAAGATAACATATTTTTATTAAACTTTTTTTTTTCCTAATCAAAGAATATTCATTCTTTAATTAGTTTGGCACCACTTGACAAATAAAATCTGCATTCAACAAGACTAGCATGTCTATGTTTCATTTTCACTATATAATTTTGGCAAACGATGCTAGCAGTCTCGTTTATGTCAAAGACACTTAACTTTGTTGTCCATTTCACTGGTTGTCAATACTCAATGAATCGTGTTGGCATTTACTGCTCAAAAAGCTATGCCAACTAATGAGAAGAATTTAGCCACCGTTTTTATGATGAACAAATTTTTGTTTACCTACTCAAAACTTTGTACCAAAAGTGTTCGTATTTCTCAGAATCTTTATCATCCAAATACATTGTGACATTGGTCCATCACATAAATATAGTATTGTTGATACTGGTATGACCGAGACTACACCAGACCATAAAAATATTTTTGATACCGAGATAAATATAGTCGTGTCTAAACATTTGGATACCGTGACCATAAAAATATTTTTTTATTATTAAACTGATATATTATATAATAAAATATGAAATAGCTATATTTATTTGTGAAATAGAATATTAATTAAAAATTTATAAAAATATATATTTTGAATTATTTGTTTAATATAAAAATATATAAAAATATAAGATCAAAGAGACATCATTATATATAACGTATTTTAAAATTGTAAATTATATTTAAAACAATTAAAAATACAATATTTTTAAAAAAAGTTAGTGAAAATTTAAAAAGAAACAATAGCTGACATAGTGAAAAAATAAAAAAAAGGAAATTGAGTATGTGGTTCTATAAATACTACAAAGAACAAAAAAATTAAGAAGTTAAAAATATCGACGTAATAGTTAATATATTAGCTGACTTTTAAATTTTAAATTTTAATTATTAAAAGAGTTTTGAAATATTCGTGTGATCAATATATAGAGATAGAAACTTAGCATTTTTACAGATAAAATATATATAATAATATAATATAATTTAAATTTACTTTTTAAATTTTTTTATTTGTTGTACATAAATTTACTTCCTAAATTATACATAAAAATTGAGTGACGTAGACGAATATTTCTTTATTTGTTAAGTAGGCACAGCCCTGAACAAGATTCATCACATTTCCAAACATATGGTATAATAATCAAGGTAGTTTTATACAACAAGATCGATCATAATTCCAAACAGATGTGTATATATTTTTATATAAATTTTCGTTATGAAATCTGTAATTTTTAAAATTATTTATATTTATAACAATTTAAAAAGTTAATAATAATATATTAGTTGATAAATAAAAAAATTAAGTCAATAATTGCAATAAATAAATATTATAAAATTTTAATAAATTAAAATATAAGTTGTTTACTTTAAAATATATCGATCAAAATAAAATAAAAAGTCAACAATTATAAATATAACTTCAATTAAGTCAACTTTATCCAAAAAATCAACAACAACATAAAATCAAAAAATTTCGTTTTAAAATAAACTAACAATTATTATAGATCGATTTTGTTAAAAAAAAATCAACAATTTTAACCAACTTTTTTATTAAAAACCTATTTATGATATAAAATTAAATAATTTAAACTAATTACGAATTTCAGTTTTATAATTTATATATATATATAATTACGAGTTAATAGTAAATAAGAGTATTTTAGTACTTAACATTTAAAATAATGTATTTTTAAGATAGCAAAAAATCAGTATATTTTCTCAAATTTCAGGGTATTTTTCAAAAAAAATTTGAAAATTAACAATCCATGTCCTTTTGCCTAAAAAGCGATTTCTTGGTTTATGTTGTTAAGTTTTGTGACATAATTTTCTGTTGTATTTTATCTTGGAATTCTCCATGAGCTTTTGTCTTCAAGATACGTATAAAGCTGGTGATGGATAGGTCAACGCTGAGTCCCACTGTTTCTTGCTGAAACCGAATAATAACTATTCAATTCAAGAGATAGGGATAGTTTCGTTTTTGTTTTTTTTGTTTTTTCCGAAGACATTAGGATAGGTTATGCATGAAAGGTTTTTCGATTATAAAAACACTTATTAAGATGAAAATTTACACTTGTCAACTGTCATACCTTCAAATTTCGTGTACCAATCATTTGTGTATTATGAGAATCAAACTCTCGATAGGTTGTAAACGCACAACACCAACACCATTCCATATATAAAAGAATTTCTTGTTTATGGTATACAAGCATATAATTGATCAGAAATACGAGTAGTTTATATTTTAATTATTTAAATGATTATTAGTTCATTTAGTTTTTAACAAATTAAAAGAAAAAAATCGTGAGAAATTCCTTAAACAAACTTTCTTTTCTTGCAATCTGTCAACCATTTCATTTCCAACTAGTCGTCTACTTTTTCAGTTATTTTAACCAATCTGATATTAGTAGGATCCACACAAAAAATGTCACTTGTCCGCCACACTTGGCTATTGCATCAAATTCTGATGTTATCAAATGGATAGATTAGATATTAAGCTTATCTAGACTTAAACAGGTAATTGCGTGAACATCTGGATTTGCTACGGGAAGGAGAGTGATGGTGGTCTGAGAATAAATTTGCATACATTACAACTCCAACCCTTAATTTTTTTTTTAATATGTATTTTGGTCTTGAACTTATTACGTGTAAAGAAACAACTTCACGTGGAATCGAATGATATATTTGTTTCTTATGTGCTGGCTAACGTGAATTTCGTCTGGAAATTGCTTTTTGGAACGTTTTGAAAAGAGAAAATTGCATGATATTAGGTATGACATACTCGAACATTTTCAATAACTTTGAAGATTTGTTTACTTGCCCTTCAAAAATAATATAGTATGAGAATATGAGTACATATTTTATGTTTCATCATAACAAGCAACGAGCTATTTGAATTTAAGAAAATCTCATAGCTTTACAAAACCCCAATTCTAAAAACTTTTTTCTCGTAAAACCCAAAAAACTCATAAATAAAATCACACGATAGCCATTATCAAACATGAAGCAGGAAATAAAGTAAAAAACAAAGCCTATCTTTTTTATTCCTTAGATTAATTTTGGAAATATGACCATCTTAGCTTATTATTCTATAGTTATAAGATCACAGACTTTAGCCGAGGTTTTCTTGGTGCTCAGCTTCCCGAAGAACCACCGGCTATATCCTCCACCGTTCTCTTCGACTCTACCACCGACGGTTGTGGCTGCGTTTGCCGTTAAAATCTTCATGTTCTCTCTGTGAAACTTCCTCGCCGTGTAAGCCTCCGCCATAGCAATCCCTCCTAGTCCTGATCCGTCTAGCGACATGTTCGATTAGTCTAGAAAAACCCACAGGGAAAATTTTAAGATATTTTAGAGAAAATGTTACTTTAAATATGAAAAGAGGTGAAAATAGAAACAAAGAGATGATTAATGTAAAAGAACTTAGTGAAAGATGAGTGTTGTTTGAAATTTAGGGGGAGGGGTTGGGATGAATATATAGATAAAAAAACAAAATATATATGTGGGTCCGTTTTTGTTGAATTTATTTTCTCTGTTTCCCACTTATTATACGTACATAATGTAGTGGCGAATTTATATAGTGTTAATGTTTTTGTTGCTTTCATTTCTACTAGTGTATCCAGGATAATTCGTCCTCTATCCTTAGCAGAGAGACTGAAATGCAGTTTAGATTCTATTCTATTCTATTAATTGAAGCGAAAGATGCAACAGCGTTTTTGTTGATCGGTTAGCCATAATCGAAAAAGATTTACAGGTCAATACGTTTACTAGATAATATACATATATATTAGTTTCTTTTTGTCGGCAGAACTATAGATTATAATCATTTATGAACACTGATTTAGCTACCAAAATACTAACTGAACTTAACAGACTCATCGATACATCAATCAATATCTACTGAAACTGGTCGTTCTAAAAGTGTCACGAGTCAAGAGTAATCGCTAGACAATCAATTTTCGAATATAGATGATAACTGTAACTGATGATCCGTTTCAAAAAGTTTAGCTACGATCTTGAATCACTGATCATTCAGCTACAATATCATGTTCATATAGTGATCATACAGAGCAAATGATTTTTTGTTTTAGCTGTTATCAATAGTAAAGATTTGTCAGACAACATGTACGATAATCTTTCATTAAAATAAAAACTTAAAACGCTAGTCATACGATAAATAAATGAAAAAATGGATTTGATGCAAATCCACGATAGATCCGGATATGATTACATCCACTAATACTAGATATTTTTTTTTTGAAGTAGAGGTATTTACGCTATTATTATTGTTATCTAGACAGACTAATTATATAATCAATTAACGTCACAAAGACGAAAGCATTAAGCATCGCACTATTTTGTTTTAGGTTTAAATAATATTGCAGGCACGGCTATTGAAGTAATGAACATAGTCCGTCTCATGGCCAGTGTTCGTAATCCATACAAAGTTGCCTGCCATATAATACAGAGGAATACTATAACTAGAGTTTATTTAATTAGCTAACACATCTAATGAATCGTGTCATACAGTCATACTAAATATTGATACCTTAAACTATTCAGCCTCAACGTTATTGAATTCGAATTCAAGCTCTATTCGAGAAAACATCATTTATGTTTTGTAGAAGTGTAGAACCACTACCACCTTTTTTTATTAGAAAGCAAAAAAAAAGAAGAAGATAATCGTTAACCTATAAAAACTATAAATCAGAAGACTCGTAGCTTTTATCACAAGAAAAAAATTATTCATTATAAAATGTTTTTTTTTTTTTTTTTTTTTTTTTTTTTTTTTTTTAAGCCTCTCATCTTAGAACGGTTCAGAGATCCAATCCGGGGGATTTGAGTTTACATAATTTATGTTGTGAAGGTAGTTGCGAGTACTCCATGCTAGCTTGTCTGTCTTCTTGTTTACGGCGCGTGGGATATGCTTTACGAAGAATGATGTGAATTCTTTCCTACTTCTCTCATATTCCTTCAAGTGTAGTTCGAAAGCCGGCCAATCTTTGGTTTGGATACCATCTTTACCAGTTCAAGGCGATCTGTGGCAAATGTCACCTCTAGTCTTTGTGCGTCGAGCATACAATGCATAGTCCATATCATTGCCTCTAGTTCCGTGTGTAATAGCGAAATACTTCGTCTAACATTTTTGGCCCCCATGAGAGTTTGAACCGTCCTTTGTCCTTGACAGAACCAACCGAGTTCTGCATTTGGGTTGTCTCCTTCCAAGCTCCGTCTGTTTTGCATATGAGTCTCAAGTCCATCGTGGTATCCACTTGTGGGGATTCCTGACATACCGGTTGAGTTTCCTCAGATTGTGCCAGCATCCAAGCCTCAGCTTCTGCCGTAGCAAGTTTTAAAACTTCCCTCGGATCTCGGTCAATATTTGAGAATATTTTGTCATTTCTTGCCTTCCAGATATACCAGAGTAACCATGGGAATACTTCCATACCGCTTATATTTGGTAATTGCCAAAATAAATGTGTCATATTTGTATATATGGCTGTCGTAGGGAAACCTGTTTGTGGCGTAGGGATCATTGAGAGAGCCCATACTTGAGAGGCTGGTGAACATTCAAATAAGGTGTGATTAACAGTTTCTCTTTCTGCACCACATCTTTGGCATTGGGGATCGCAGTTAATTCCCCTACTTCGAAGCCGGTCCATTACCGAAATACACCCTGAGATAATCTGCCAGAGAAAATGCTTCATCTTTAGCGGGCATTTGACATACCAGGCATGACTCTGCACATGACTTATATCTGGTCCAATAAGTCTTTGTTCGACATTTCCCGTGGGGTACTCCCGTTCTGTCTCATATCCTGACTTAACCGTATATCTTTCTGATTTCGTGAAGTGCCAATTTAATGAGTCTGGTTTATCCGCTATTGGAATTGGAAGTCGAAGAATGAATGTGATATCCGCTGGGTCAATTAGTTGCTCCATAAGAGGTAGATTCCATGTTTTTGTGGATGAGACTATCAGGTCTCTAACTTTGAGTGCATGATAGATATTTAATCCCCTGCAGGTTGCTGGTCTCGGGTGCGTAGCCGGAATCCAGGGGTCTTTCCATACTGATATAGACCCTCCTGAACCGACTCTTTTGATGAGTCCTTTTTGTACCAGAGACCGAGCTGACATTATACTCAGCCATCTGAATGATGGCGAATATGACCGAATAAGGTCCAGAGGTTCCCCATCATGGTAGTAGCGTCCCTTGAACACTTTAGCGAATAAGGAATCAGGATAAACGTTGAGTCTCCATAGCTGCTTTGTCAGCAGTGCCGTGTTAAAATCCTCTATTATCCGGAAGCCCAATCCACCCTGTGATTTTGGTTTACACAGTTTCTTCCACGCCATCCAGTGCATTCCCTTCGACTGACCATTTGTACTCCACCAAAAGTGTGCTACCGTGCTTGTCAATTTGTTGGTGATACTTTTGGATAGGCGAAAGCATGACATGGTAAATGTCGGCATCGTTGATGCTACTGACTTAATCAGCACTTCTTTCTCTCCTTTTGATAGTAATCGTGATGTCCACCCATTCACCCTCTTTTGTTGTTGCTGAATCAAAAAGCTAAAAAACTTTGTTTTTGCTCCTCCTAGACTCTCTGATACCCCCAGGTAAGTACCCATCCCCCCAATGTTCAAAATACCTAGGGTGTGATGTATTTGTTCCTTAACTGCTGAGTCTACATTGTGACCGAATTGGACAGAAGATTTCTCAAAGTTAATCTGTTTTCCCGACACCAATTCATATTGTTTCAGTATGCCTAATAACACCTTTGTTTCCCCCTCGTTTACCTTACAAAAAAATAGATTGTCATCCGTAAAAAGGAGGTGTGAAACTGGTGGGCACGCCCAAGCTACCTTCATTCCGGTTAGTAATTTTAATCGTTCTGCTTTCCTCAGGTTGGCTATCAAAACCTCTGTGCACAGAATAAAAAGGTATGGAGATAGTGGGTCCCCTTGCCTTAGGCTCCGTTTTGGTACTATATGCCCTCGGGTTTGCCCGTTAATGATGACCTTATCTTGTATTGATTTTATGCTCCACATTGTCTATGTGATCCATTTTTCCGTAAAACCCATTTTCCTGAGAATGTTTTCAATGAATGGCCATTCGATCCGATCATATGCCTTACTCATATCAGTTTTCACCGCCATGTATTTTCTTTTACATGAATTATTTGTCCGCAGACCATGAAACATCTCTTGGACTATTAGTATATTATCTGAGATGAGTCTTCCAGCTACAAAAGCCGACTGAGTTTCAGAGACAAGTCTAGGAAGTAAACCTCGCAGTCTCTGGCACAAGCACTTCGATATTATTTTGTAGCCTACGTTGCATAGACTTATTGGCCGTAATTCTGTCATTCGGGTTGGTCTTTCAGTTTTTGGTATTAAACAAATATTTGTCATATTTAGTCTTTGGTCAAAAACCCCCGATGTGAGAAATTCGTTCACCATATGTACCACCTCGTTTTTAATTAAGGGCCATGACTGTTGGTAAAAAAGTGCCATCATCCCATCTGGCTCCGGCGCTTTCTCTGGATGCATCATGAACAGTGCCGTTCGAACCTCCTCTTCTGTTACCGGTCTTGTCAGGGTATCATTATCTCTTTCTGAAACCTATGATTTGATCTCTTCTAATGCTTCATCGAACTGAATGGGGGTCGTGGAGGTAAATAACTCATCGAAGTAGTCAACTACGACCTTTTCCATGTTCTTTTCTCCCATCACCCAGTCTCCCACATTGTTATATAAACCCACTAACCTATTTATTGTACGCCGTTGTTGAGTTGTTGCATGGTAGAACTTGGAGTTTAAGTCCCCATCTCGGTGCCACAAATTCCAGCTTTTTTGTTGCCAGTATTGCTCCTCATCCCTATATGCCTCCTTTAGTTTCCAGTTTATGTCAACCAATTCCTCTTGGGACCTTGAGTCGTCACATTGAGCTTCCTATAACGCCTGTTGAAGATCATTTATCTTATCTTTCCCATATGGCCTATTTTCTTTCCGCCATTTCGATATTTCATGTCGACAGTTAGCTATTATATCTATCATAGAGATATCTGCCCTGTCATCCTTCTGGTGCCACCCACGTTCAATTGATTCCATAAACCCTTCTTTGCCTATCCAGCGCTTGTCAAACCTGAATTGGTGCCAACGTTTATATTTTTGAGCCTGTATTGTAGCCACAATAGGCCGGTGATCAGAGCCCACCATGCGCAAATATTCCACAATAGAATGTAGGAATAAATCATGCCAGTTTTCCGTAGCTAGTGCTCTATCTAGTCTACATCGAACCGTTTTACCGCTTCTCCGTCCGCGCCATGATAATTTATTCCCTTTATTTGGAAAATCTATTAACCCACAGTTCTCTATCATCACATTAAAATCCACAAACGTGGATGGATGTCGTAAATTTCTACCTTGTTTTTTATGATTCCCCGTTATTTCATTAAAATCACCAATTAAAAACCATGAGTCAAATCTATTAATTTCCGTTCTTGTCATCCGTTCCCACATTTGATTCCTGAATTTTTTAACTGGGTTACCACAAATAAAAGATAAGCAAATTATTTAAACTGCTTTAATATCAATCATTCATTTATTAGCAAAAATAATTTTGACATCAAATATATCAGAAAAAAATAAAGCTAAACCGCCACTCGATCCACACGGTTCAACCGTGTACAATTTATTATAACCAAAATGAAATTGAAATTGCTGGATAAAAGAAAAATAATTCTTAGTCTCCGAAAGAAACAGAAGCTCTGGTTTAAATTTCTTCCAGACCTCCTTCAGATAGCTTATTGTGTAAGGGTTACCCAATCCCTGACAATTCCAACTAAGTATCCGCATAAGGTAAAGCTGGTATCATATCCTTCGTCTCCTCATTGGCCCCGTCTTTGGCCTTGGTCCCTTGATCTGTTTGATTTTCTGCCCTTGGACGTCCGGTAATCTTGGCATGACCCTTTTTCCGTGGTGAGATTAGTGCTTGGACAAGACGTTTCTTGGCATTCATCCCATTAGTTCCCACATTAACCCGAAGCTGCTTCTTTTTCTGAGGTCCTGGTTTTGTGCCTTGTGTCTTCTCTGCGATTTCTGTATGGTCCTCTGGTTGTACGACTGTCATAGGAGCGTCAAGATTATTATCAAGACGCATCTTATCCTTTTCATTAAGTGTGTGCTCCCTAGTCACATTGGAGTTGCCCTTTGTAGCATCATCAAATTTGCTAGTATCATGCTCAGCCGAGATTGCACCTGCATTTAGCTCTTTCCCCAAAAACCCTTCACTATCCCCTTCGCTGTTGATAACCAAGTCAGCCGTTCCCGATGAATGCCCCGTGTGAATAGATTGTTCTGAAACCTGTTCCATATCCATTATACTTGGGTAATCAGCTACTTTTTATTGAGTTTTTTTTTTTTATTTCTTGTAAATGAAAATAACGTCGTCTCTTGTGTAAATATTCCACCATGTGCAAATATTCCACAATAAAATGTGGGAATAAATCATGCCAGTTTTCCGTAGCTAGTGCTCTATCTAGTCTACATCGAACCGTTTTACTGCTTCTCCGTCTGCGCCATGATAATTTATTCCCTTTATTTGGAAAATCTATTAACCCACAGTTCTCTATCATCACATTAAAATCCACAAACGTGGATGGATGTCGTAAATTTTCACTTTGTTTTTCATGATTCTCCGTTATTTCATTAAAATCACCAATTAAAAACCATGAGTCAAATCTATTAATTTCCGTTTTTGTGATCCGTTCCCACACTTGATTCCTGAATTTTTTAAATGGGTTACCATAAATAAAAGATAAGCAAATGATTTTTCCTTCATAAACTGCTTCAATATCAATCATCTATTTATTAGCAAAAATAATTTTGACATCAAATATATCAGAAAAAAATAAGGCTAAACCGCCACTCGTTCCACACGGTTCAACCGTGTATAATTTATTATAACCGAAATAAAATTGAAATTGCTGGATAAAAGATATACAATTCTTAGTCTCCGAAAGAAACAGAAACTCTGGTTTAAATTTCTTCCAGACCTCCTTCAGATAGCTTATTGTGTAAGGGTTACCTAATCCCTGACAATTTTAACTAAGTATCTGCATAAGGTAAAGCTGGTATCATATCCTTCGTCCCCTCATTGGCCCCGTCTTTAGCCTTGGTCCCTTGATCTGTTTGATTTTTTGCCCCTGGACGTCCGGTAATCTTGGCATGACCCTTTTTCCGTGGTAAGATTAGTGCTTGGACAAGTCGTTTCTTGGCGTTCATCCCATTAGTTCCCACATTAACCCGAAGCTGCTTCTTTTTCTAAGGTCCTGGTTTTGTGCCTTGTGTCTTCTCTGCGATTTCTGTATGGTCCTCCGGTTGTACGATTGTTATAGGAGCATCAAGATTATTATCAAGACGCATCTTATCCTCTTCATTAAGTGTGTGCTCCCTAGTCACATTGGAGTTGCTCTTTGTAGCATCATCAAATTCGCTAGTATCATGCTCAGCCGAGATTGCACCTGCATTTAGCTCTTTCCCCAAAAACCCTTCACTATCCCCTTCGCTGTTAATAACCAAATCAGCCATTCCCGATAACTGCCCCGTGTGAATAGATTGTTCTGAAACCTGTTCCATATCCATTATATTTGGGTAATCAGCTACTTTTTATTGGGTTTTTCTTTTTTTTTTGCAAATAAAAATAATGTCGTCTCTTGTGTATGATCGTGAAAAGTACAATACTATTTTTTGCTTGTATATAACCGTAGTAATAAAAAAAAACTACAAACTATAATTATTAATATTATTATCATATTATTTATAATACCCACTCCCCATTGGCTGTTTGGGTGTGAGTGGGTCGGTATCAATAAACTTATTAAAATAACTTAAATCAGATATATTCTGGAAGAAAGTTCCTTATATCCATCGATCGCCATTACACATACTTTACGTTTGAGTACATTAGAAAATCAGAAAAAGAATATTGATAATGCGTTTGTTCTTTTGATTCATAGATTTGAAGAATTTATTTATTTAGCGTTTCTGGTCCATTGTATAAGACTTGTCTGAATGATTGAAACAACGCTGTTGATTTACTTTCCAGAGTGTGTTTTTATTATATAAAACGGTAACCAAGATTAATCAACCCTAAAAGCGAGTAACCAAACAAGTCGTTAAGTTTCTTTAAAAAACGTTATGGATAGCTTATAGTCTATATCGTAGTTGTAATCTGTGTTTATTGTGAGAATTTTGTTTTTAATGCAGCGAAAACATTTTTGTAAGATTAGTCACTAATTTAAATTTCAATCCATATAATTATAAAAGTCAGCTAATTTGGGTTTAGGCCCAAAAGAGCCCGTTATAACCCGAAACCAGTCGTGTCGACGTGTGTACACTCGGATCAGCGCCACGTGCAAGGACGACTCACGTGAAAAGGATGAATGCTCACGTGCTACAGCGGAAATAGCTTCGCTGTGTGACCGGGAGAAAAAGAGAGCGCTCTCGATCGAATTCGAAACCCACGTGCTTCCAGGTCCATTATCCGTCGCCGTTTTGGGGTCCACCACTACACCTATTTTTTTTTTACTTTTCACTATTTTATAAACCACATAAAAGCACATAATTGTCTCCATTTTTCTAATATGCATTTTAAACTTTAAAGTTGGATGACAATACAATAGCTATTATATAGATACTACTAAGATTCCACTCCATAATCATCAACCTTCTTATTTGATATTTGAATAAATTTTTAAGAAAAACATATATATTTTAGAGGTTAAAGTATCTGTTGGAAAAAGGGTTAAGAAATCTGTTGAATAAATTATAACAAAACTAAGTGCAGTTGTATGGCCGATTATTTAATGGATCTAGATTTTTACTTTATATATTGATTTTTTCCTTGCTTTGAAGGACCAAAAACTATAATTTTTAATTTTATGAACACAAAACCATCATATGAGAGTTTTCAAGACTATTACGAACTACAGTTTTTTGATTAATAATTAAATATATATATATATATACTAATATGCAGTATGTATACAATATTCTTATTTCAACAGAATTGTGATTGTTGAAACAAAAATAGAACTGTAATGATTTTTGTTCAATCTGGCTACTTTATTGACAAACAAACATTTTGCCTAAGAGGACCAGATTTTATGTAAACATTATTGAAAGATAATTTATGTCGTAGTGGTTAAAAATGTCTTTAATCGAAGAGTGCCTTTGGACTAGTGAATTAATCCATTTTTGATGATTTTTACATGGGAATTTTTGATTCCACCCTCTTTTTTTTAGTTGGAAAGTCGAAGTGAATATTTTAATACTACAAACATCTTTTTAGATGTCTGATAACATAAAATTTATTTTTTGGTTTGCTCATTTATATAAATACCATCATTTCAATTTCAGGGTACATGTAAAATGGAATATGAATTCAAATTGGTCGCATCTCCAAAATAGTCCGACATAATAAATCTCCATTACTTCTCTAGGAAAAAAAAAAATGGGACCATATGAATAAAGAAATGAAATAAAAAAGAATGACATAAAGAAACGGAATTAAGATAAGATAAATAAGTCTTTGGCGGGATGTCTCTGTTTCTTAATTAAAATCCTTCGCTTAATACTTAAAAACCACAACACATACACACTGTGACTGTACTTCTCTCATCACCCTCTTTGATATTTCACCAAATTACCACAATACTTATCAATTAATCAACCTAACCTAATCTCCCCTCTCCACAAATCTCTAATTTCCTGCTTCAATCTCCATTACCCAATCTCTAGATCCGTAATGCAGCTAAAACCCTTTGATAATTAGCATCTCCCGATTTGAAAAACCACAGCTTTATTATTATTATTATTATTATTATTGTTAAATTTACGGAGATTTCAGTGGAACAAAAGCTGGAGGAGAAGAAGAACAAGTTAAAAGATATCGTGGTTGAAGATTCTTCCATTGGTCGGCGTTAGTTGCTTCCGACATAAGCACCCTTCAGATCCGGAGAGAGAGGTGATCCCACAATCCCATTAATGCACAACCAACCAAGCTTTTAGTTTTTGTTGTTGCTGTTTTACCTAAATTAAGAGAATTTCACAAGTCCTTCACTTTCCTTTTGGATGGTTTTTAGAGTCTTACTTGGTAATTCGCTCCTCAAAGTTTTGGTTTTTATTGTGGGTTTCCTTTCTTCTTTTCTATCTACTAAATCTGGTCGTAGAGAGTCAAACGGAGTGTTCTTAGCATTTTTACTCTGCGAATAGAGATAGTGGAACTTATTGGCTTAGCATGTCAATTGAATCGGATCTCCTTTCTTAATTTTGAGGTGTTTCAAAGTGGATTATAGTTTTGGGGATGCTTGGATCTGATGATTAGCTACCAATGGGCACTTTTAGATTTTGTTTATGATCCGCCAATTTGCAGAAATCTCTTTGCTTTCTTGGAATTTGAGAGGTTAAAGTAGTTTCAGCATGCTTGTGCTTTGTATTGGTTAGTCGGAATGTTAAGTCAAACTGATAGTTTTGGTGAATTTAGACGACTCTGAAAATGTTGAACAGCTGAATGACTTGGATCTAATCTTGTACTGATGGTTTCTAATCTCTTTGTGCTATGATTGTTCTATGTAGTCTCTGTTGTAACGAAGATGGGCACAAAGGAAGAAAATTGAGCTCGTTACATGTGTGTTTTTGCAGGTGAGAGAGAGAGGCTGTGCTGATATTTGAGTAATGTCGAGACCGACCAAATGGAAGCTGGAGAAAGCCAAAGTCAAAGTGGTCTTTCGTTTGCAGTTTCATGCTACTCATGTAAGTCGAATAGCTGATTAAGCTCAAAAGTCTTCCTTTTAGTAGTAAATCTGCAAATACATTACTCACCTTTACGTCATACTTCATATTGTGAAAAGGTTCCACAAGCGGGATGGGACAAACTGTTCATATCATTCATTCCCGCTGACTCTGTAAAAGCTACAGCAAAGACAACAAAAGCGCTTGTGAGAAACGGAACTTGCAAGTGGGGTGATCCGATCTATGAAACTACAAGGCTGCTTCAGGATACAAGGACCAAGCAATATGATGAAAAACTGTACAAGATTGTTGTTGCTATGGTATCATTCTATTTTTATTTTCCCTTATTTTTTCTTCTTTTTTCTGACTTGTATATTCGGATTTAACTTATGCTTCCCTTTGCGTTCTTATGAGATCAGGGTACTTCTAGATCTAGTATCCTTGGAGAGGCCATGATCGACCTTGCGGAATATGCTGATGCCTTAAAGCCTTTTGCTGTGGTATTGCCCTTGCAAGGCTGTGATTCAGGAGCTATCTTACATGTATGGACCATTTGGCATCTTTCCCCTATTTCTCACATCCTGCTAAAGAGTTCGACTTCCTTCTTAACCTTATAGATCGGTTCATCACTTACTTCTTTTTCAGGTCACTGTACAGCTGTTAACTTCAAAAACTGGTTTCAGAGAGTTCGAGCAGCAGAGAGAACTCAGGGAAAGGGGACCGTCAACGACCCCTGACCAAAACAGTCCTGATGAATCATCTCGTTGCAGAACTTCGCCTTCTGATGAGACTCTTAGTCATGTTGATAAGGTTTGGCTTTCTTTTTCTATAAAAGCTTCATGAATATGTCCCTTCAGGTTTCCACCTTAAAAAATTTACTTTGCTAGTAATGGACGCATGATCCACAGTATGCTGATTTGTTATGTAGTGTTATGCTCGCCTATTCATAGGACAACTTTTAGACACAACTTATATTGTCAATATCTTTTCGCAGACAAATATAAGAGGGAGTTTCAAAGAAAAGTTCCGAGATGATTCTTTAGTGGAAGAGGCTGTGGGGCCAAATGACCCGGATTCAGCATTGGGATTTGATGTCTCTTCAAACACATCAGGAAGCCTAAATGCAGAAAAACATGATATATCCAGCACAAATGAAGTTGACAGCCTCAAAAGTATGGTATCTGGAGATCTGAGTGGACTTGCTCAGATCCCGCAGACAGAGAAAGACGGTCGTGAGTGGCATCATGGCTGGGGTTCAGACAATCTTAGTAAGAATAGCGATTTGGGCAATGCAATAGAGGAAAACATTAAGCTTAAAGGCTTCGTGGAAGACATGGAATCATCTATTAATGATATTAAGATTGAAGTGAGCTCGCTGCAGTGCCATGCAGATGATATTGGCTCCAAGGCTCAAGAATTTTCTCAAATACTTATTTCAGAGATTGGTTCTGGGGATCAGTTGGTCAGAGAAGTATCTGTGTTGAAATCAGAGTGCTCGAAATTTAAAGAAGAGATGGAGCGGTTACGTAACGTCAAAACACAAGTTCTATATAATAGCAAAGACCAAGATAATGTTTCCCACAGTCTTCAGCTAAGATGGCTGCAGGGTCTTTTAGTTGTGGAGGATAACATCAGAGAGATTCAAAACAAAATTTGCTATGGCTACCATGACAGAGACCTAAGATTGTTCCTCTCAGACTTTGAGTCTCTGCTCGGAGTTCTACTGGATTTTAAAAGGCAGATTGGCCAGCCTATATCTCACCTCAGCACAGCACCGTCTGAGAAACTCAACACGGCCGATATGAAAGAGAGAGGCGTGTCGAAGGCAGAGCAGTTTGTATCAGGTTCTGAGCTGGACACTGATATTTACCAACCAGAACTTGATCCACTTCAATATCTTGGTATGCCTGATCTTACTTCTCGTGAACCCAACTCAGCAGATTCTGTAAATGCCATGCGAGATAAAATACTCGAGCTTGTACGAGGGCTGGACGAGTCTAAAGCTGAACGTGATAGCCTTACCAAGAAAATGGATCAGATGGAATGTTATTACGAATCTCTGGTCCAGGAGCTTGAGGAAACTCAAAGGCAGTTGCTAGTGGAGTTACAGAGTCTAAGGACTGAACATTCCACGTGTCTCTATAGTATCTCTGGCGCTAAGGCTGAGATGGAAACGTTGCGCCAAGATATAAATGAGCAAACCTTAAGATTTTCTGAGGAGAAGAAAACTTTGGATTCTGTGAATGAAGAACTGGATAAACGAGCTACGGCTGCAGAGGCAGCACTGAAAAGGGCCCGCTTAAATTATTCTATTGCTGTCAACCATTTGCAGAAGGATCTTGAATTGCTTTCCTCCCAGGTTGTATCTATGTTCGAGACCAATGAAAACCTCATTAAGCAAGCTTTTCCAGACCCTCCACAAAGCTTTCACGGCATTCAGTCGACAGATGATTCAAAGCCTGAGAAACAGGACACTCGTGATGTACAACTTACACAGCTTCAGAATGAGAAAAAAGGGATGAAGGAACGGACCTTAAAGGGTGATATTCTTCTAGAAAACTTGAAGAGATCTCTTCATGTGCAAGAAGGCCTATATAAAAAAGTTGAAGAAGAACTTTATGAGATGCACTCAAGGAACTTATATCTGGAAATATTCTCGAACATTCTACAAGAAACTTTCCTAGAAGCCAGTGTTCACATAAGGATCATGAAAGCGAAAATTGATGAACTTGGGTGGCAGCTAGAGCTTTCAACAGAGGCCAAGGAAATGTTGAAGCAGAGGCTGGATATTACTTTGGACGAGGTTTGCTCCGTGAATGAGGAGAAAACCACATGCATTGCCAAATGGAATGCTGTAGCTTTGCAAAATCAAAGTTTAGAGGCAAATTTGCAGAATATTACTTACGAAAACCTCATCCTTCTGCAAAAGATTGATGAACTGGAATCTGTAGTGTTGGAGTTCAAGAATGAGAGAAAAGAGCTCGCAGAGCTAATGGAGAAAGAAGCTGTGGGAAAAGTTCATTTTCAGACACAGTATGCTACCGTGCAGGCTGAGCTTGATGCTGTGAGAGGTAAATTTGATGATCTGGCTACTGAAAATGGAAATCTGCAGAAGAAATTCAGCAGTCTGAAGGACAAGTTGATGGACACATTAGGCTGCTACAATGAAAAGCTCACTTCGTTGCCTCTATGGGAAGGGGCATTGGATCTTGATTTGGAGTCCAGTGATTTAGCAGAGCAGCTTGATAAGTTCTTGCGTAATATATGTGAAAAAACTAGTGTACTTATGACAGAGAATAAAGATCTGATGCAGGAAAAATCCAAGACAGAGTTCTATTTAAGGGCTGCAGAGTCTGATATTGCAGAGCTCAAGCAGAAGCATGAGAATGATGTACATGGTTTTGTCACTAAACTAGAAGCTTCCACTGCCCTTCTCCAGAAACTTCAGTTGGAAACTGAGTCTATCATGGACAAAACGAAGGTTATTACCGAAGCTGAAAGAAACTATGATAGCTGTCACATGGACTTTGTTTCTCGCCTTGATTGTATTGAAAATGAAATTCATCGACTTGTGGCTAAGAATGAGGCGCTTGGTCAAGAGATCTCAGAATTAAGCTCTGTAACTGTTGAGCATGGAAGAACCAAGCTGCTTGTGGAAGAACTGGTTGAGGAAAAAAAAGGTCTTCTGGTTTCTCTTCTGGATAAATCTCAGGAAACTTTGGGTCTTGTGCGTAAGCTCGAGAATTTAAGGACAACATTTGACCAAGAGCTGAGACTTGAAAAAAGCTCAAAGCAGGAACTAGAAATTAAAATGCAAGATCTTACTTCGGAGTTGAGTGCGAAAAGTTCCAAATTGCTGAGCTTTGATGAGCAAAGCTCTGAGTTGGTCCGTCTCAAGCAAATGGTTGCCAATCTGGAGCTGGAGAAGGCAACTCACACTCATGCTTTGTCAAACTATGAAACATCTCTGAGAAGCTTGAATCGTGATTCATCATATATTTCCGATTTGGAATCTCAGTTACTTGAAATGATGGAATTTTCAATTGCAGCAGATATCCAGATTGTTTTCACAAGAAGTGCGTGGGAGACATATGCTGAGGAGCACCACAAGGAACATTTTGAGGTACTGACTGCACTCAATGGTTCTCAAAATATAGGAGCTCAGTATATGGATGATAATATAAAGCTATTGACAGATCTCGACTCCCTAAAGTCAGAATTGAATGTTGAGAGAAGTTTGAGAAACAAATTAGACAGCAGAATTGAAGAACTTGCTGCTGAGTTAGATGAAAAGCAGTTGCTGTCGGAGAACCTTGGCTTGCAGAAATCTCAAGTGAAACTATTGGAGAAGATGGTAGCTGAACTTAAATCTGAAAAGTCTTTTCAAAGTTTGGAGCATGTTAGAAATGCTCATCGAGAGTCTTCTTTTATTGAAGAGCTGCTTCAATGTCTAATAGCTGCAGATGTTCAGCATATTTTTACAAAAATACAGTCTGAGACCCATATCAGTGACCTTGCAGAACAACTTAGCTGCTGCTCTAAGAGCCATCTTGAGTTTCAAAAGAAGCACGCTGATGTGGAGTCTGCCCTCAACCATTGTCTAGTCAACGAAAAGCGGTGTATGGAAGAAAACAATCAATTATTAATTAGTCTTGAAGTCTTGAAGTCTGAGCTAGAGTCTTCCATGGCGAAGAGTAGAGCTCTTGCTGATAGAAATGATGAAATGTCCGTTGAGCTTGAAGAGTACAGAACTAGGGATGAGAATGCAGAAAGAAGTTACTCTGAGAGAAGCCAATGTGCTCATGAGGTTGAACAATTGAAATCGTTGTTGGTTAGGCATGAAGAAGAAATAGAAAACTTGACGGTGTTAAAGGCTGAGGCGGAAATCACAGTCGATATACTAAAAGATAAACTAACTGAGCTGTGTGGAAAAGGCGCCAGTGAGCTTGAAACACTGAAAAATAGGCGTGCTGATCTCACTCAAAAGCTCTCTGAACAGATTCTGAAAACAGAAGAGTTCAAAAGCTTGTCCATCCATTTGAAAGAGCTTAAGGACAATGCTGAAGCTGAATGCAGCCGTGCCCGTGAAAAGGCGGACTATCAAGCCCCGCTAACTCCACAGCAGGAGTCGTTGAGAATCATTTTCATCAAAGAGCAGTATGAAACCAAGCTGCAGGAACTCCAACATCAAGTGGCCATGTCCAAGAAGCATGGCGAGGAAATTCTGATGAAATTACAAGACTCCATTGATGAGAATGAAGCAAGGAAGAAGGCAGAATCCAGCCATTTGAAGAGAGCTAAAGAGCTGGGAGATAAAATATTGCAACTGGAGGCTGATCTGCAATCTGTTATCTATGATAAACGTGAGAAGGAAGACATGATGAAGGCTGAGTTAGATTGTTCATTGTTAAGCCTTGAGTGCTGCAAGGAAGAAAAACAGAAAGTTGAAGCTTTATTGCAGGAATGCAAAGAGGAGAGACTGAAATTGTCCAAAGAGCTAGACTCGATGAGAGAATTAGTACAACATTACAACTCTCGTCAAAATATTCAGAAGGAAGAACATGAAAGATTGAGCACGGAGGATGGTGTACCGGAGGAGCTGTCTGACAAAAATATATTTGCAGCTTCTTCAGGCGACTTGGTGAACCATGAGCGAAAAGAAGGTGCTTGTTTTGTTCCTACGGTGGGGACCACCAGTCCCAGGCTAAATATTCAGGTAAATCTTCAAGTTCTGCTCCTACCAGTCGTGTGACTAAACGGCCAAAAATAGGTGGTATAATTAAATTTCTTATCATGTTTATGATATTTACAGCTTTTAATGTATGCTTATCATTCATCAGGGTGTAAATGAAAACGGAGACAAATTACCTTCCGGAGAAGCAATGACGCTGGACAAAAGTGAAGAAAGTCTAGCTTTGGTCAGTGATAATATCAGGGCAGAGACTTTAAGGTCTAGCTTGGATCACTTAAACAATGAGGTATTATTGGATTGTCGTTTAAAATATATAAAAGAGTGGAGTTAAAATAATTGGAGAGATATATATCACTGGCTTAGTTTGGCTTTGATGGCTAGCTGGTGTGTTGCATCTACTAAAACATTTTTATGTTAGGCCCTAGCGTCACCGAATCTTGTTCTTCCTTTTTGTCTTCTTTACAGCTGGAACGGATGAAGAATGAGAATCTCGTTCAACCTCGAGATGACAATGATTCAGACACCAGATTTCCGGGATTGGAACAAGAGCTGACACAGTTGCGTCAGGTGCAGATGTTTACCTTTTAAAGATTGTAATATATCGAAGCATGTTTGTCCAGATTCAGAAGTCTTATGGATCATCTTTTCAACAGGCAAAGGAAGAACTTCAAAGTATCTTCCCTCTATCTCACGAAAATTTCAGCTGCGGAAACGCATTGGAAAGGGTTCTTGCGCTGGAAATAGAACTTGCTGAAGCATTGCGTGGAAAGAAAAAACCAGCCATCCATTTTCAGAGGTACACGATTCAAGAATCCATCTACTTTGTAAAATCAAGATCCTGCATTAAAGACCGAACTTATGCCCTTTATCGCCTTGAAATTGCAGCTCTTTCTTGAAGCAACACACCGATGACGAAGCGATCTTCCAGAGTTTCAGAGACATAAACGATCTAATCGAGGAAATGCTAGAGACCAAAGGCCGGTATGCATCTGTGGAGACGGAGCTTAAGGAGATGCATGACCGTTACTCTCAGCTAAGCCTCAAGTTTGCAGAGGTTGAAGGAGAGAGACAAAAGCTTATGATGACTCTGAAGAACGTTAGGGCATCCAAGAAAGCAATGCTCTTAAACCGTTCATCATCAGCAACTCTTGGTGAACATTAATGCACAGATGTTACTATGTATATATGTCCCAAGGATGATGAATAAGTCCATGCTCTAACAGTGGTCTGAAGTTATAGATAGCTTAATATAAATGTTCTTTACTCAAAATATGGGGTTCTCAAAAGTGATGTCCTCTCTGTATTGTACAGAAACCCATATTCTTTAACTCAGACAATGAAAAGTTTAGTTAAGAAAAAGAAAGAACGTAGATAACAAGTTGTATTCATTACCAGTAAACTCCTGTTATTTTTTTTTTTGGTTACGAAAACGTTTGTCTGAACATGTATATATGTAAAAATCAAAAATATCGTAGTACATTTTCTTGAGCCATTTTTGATAGACAATGAAGGAGAAATGAAAAATAAATTATCAACCACACAAATGAAAACCAAAATCTGTAATGAAAGATCCTTTGTTTTTCCATGCCTATGCCAATCATCTTGTACTGAAAGAAACTTCTCAAAGCTTGCTTGAAGCTACGGAAGCTGTTGCATCACATCAAGTGACTATTATCATCAAGGATATAAAATTCTCTATGTTCCAATTTACTTGCAGCTACAAAATGGTGCACGCGCATCGATTCTTCATCGGAGGATCATTTTGCAGTTTTTCTGTGGAGCAACAGAACACAAACAGTTCATATATAATGAGACGATATGACCATGATCTCAAAACCTATGGAGAACATAGAAAGAGCTATTGGAATCTGAAAAACCCATAATTACAAGCGACCACAGAGAGGATTCAGGGAATATGAAAAATGTACCGCTCTTTTTGTCTAACGTAGGAGGGCGAAGAACAACATGCATAGTGATGATCATTCCAGGGAGTTCGCCAACGGGAAGCCTGGATTCAGCAAGTGTCCTGTTGTTCTCCAGTATTTTCCCAGCATTGATCAGCTTCACATCATTTACAGTCTTTGGAGTATTTTCTTTATCTGCAAGATCAGAAGAAACACTTGAAAACTTGCAGTTCCAACACAACCTCAAAGAGTGCCCATCAAACATCTCAACCTATGAAAAGCAATACATATATCCTGTGTATACTAGTAAACATCTCAAAGATTAAAATTCTCATACTTTTTTACAAAGCTCAGTACCTTAAAGCGTTCGTTATACATTGAGTCATTGCAGAGACAAGAATCGAGAAAGACAAAACTTTTTACAATCAAATCCCAATAGACAAAGCAGAAACATTAAAACTAAGGAACCATCAAGCAATCAAATCAAAAATGAGTCTGAACCAATCAAGCAATCAAATAAAAAATGAGTCAGTGAGAAGAAGAGAAGAATGAGTATAATAAACCTTTAGGCCATTGAGAAATGATTTTCTCTTTGAGAGAAGAAACAGTCATAGATTGATTATACTTGCTCGGGCCTATGTCAGTGCCATCTGCGAGTCTAAATTTGAGTTCTATCCAATCTTCACCTGCCATCTTCCAATTTCCCCAGAAGAAAACAGAAAAAATAAACCCCTAAAAAAATAAAAATCTCAAATTCAATAATTCTTCACCGTATCAACTTCTATTTGCACTCTCTGAGAAATATCATCGAACACAAGGCATGCTTGTTCACCAATCCAATTACAAACCCCAAAACAAGCTCTCGTAGTTAAAATCTCTGTTGAAACAAAAGCACGAAACCGACGCGCCAAGAAGGATTCGCCCAAAAAGAAACGATTTTTTTTTTTTCACTGTGATACGTAATCTAAATCGAAGCTTGTTTCGAGGATCAGCCGTTTCTGAAGAACAGATCCAATTATATATTTGACGAATTTTCGATTAAGAAAACCAGAAAATTAAAAGAAAAAAAGAAAAATCGAAAGAAGAAAAGAGAGAGACACTTTGGTTGAAAGGCTGTCTTTGAGCAGCAAACACACACACAAAAGAGGAAACTAATTTAGTTTTGGGTTTTCTTTGTCAAGTGAGATTCTTCTAATAGTAAATCCTTCATTTGACTTTTCTACCCCTCATTTTCCTGCTAATCTCTCAATTAAGCTGACTTTTAAATATAAAAAAGACTTGAGAATTTGTAATAAAAATGTACAATTTATTAAAGTCTTGTGAATTAACATTAGATTGTTTCATAATGATATATATATATATATATATATATTAACAATCTAAGAAGATGTTCGAAACGATAGCAAAAACAAACTTATAGTTCTAAACTCTGGCCATGTTGTACAATATCAAAATGTACAAGTGGATGTCAATAATTTGGTTTATATTAAGTGGGTATTGATACTCTTGACATTTTATTTCTTTATAGAAAAAATAATCTGTTTATCTGTGGGTTCCCTTCCCTATCATCTCAATTATTTATAGCATTTTGTTCCTTTAATACATTGGCATATATGCCAAATTATGTGATTTGTAACAAGGGATAATTCTGGAATTTTAAGATGAGCTTAGATACAATACAACAACAAAAACATATTGTAATTCCAAATGGTTAGAAAGTGGCAGCCACCAACTACAGAAGGCTTAACTACTTTAACTAATTGAAGATCGTATTTAATAACATAATATGCTTACTCATAATATTGCAATAGTTTACTGTAATTTGTTTATTGGAGTTTAAACTCTTAAGACATCTCTTCTGAAGATTGGAATATTTACATTGAGCATTATTATAGACAAGAAACTTCTAGAGTTTTAGTGATCTGGATATGTAATTAAGTGGTGTTTCTAAATGAAAATTTTGGTTAAATACTTTTAACATCCAGGGTCGAAAAAAGTGTAACCGATCTTTTTTTCCAAAGGAAAGAGTCCGGTTCTGATTAATATGGTTCGGTTCAATCAGAAATGTCCTCCTAAACGCCAACCAAATACACTGTCACGAATGAAAATTCGTTCGTGCATTCCACAAAACACCAAATACATCTTTAGGATGAAATAAATAACTGGCTAGTGATATTTAGATATTTATATGTGCATTCATAAGAAGAAGACTGATTCCTTCACATCATATTTTAAAGTAATACGAAAATTAATCACAGAATAGATTCGTTGAAATAAATCAAAAAAGCAACTTTCACTAGAAAAAAGAAAAGAAAAGAAGAAGATAAAAAGAGAGAGAGGTCAAGTGTGAAATGAGAATCAAGAGATGGTTTGCTTTATGAGCATATGATGCGTTCTAAATTACAACAAAGGCATCAAACGATTTTATCATCTTTTGTTCTTTTTACCTGTTTTCTACTTCTGCCTGCAACATCCATAATGTTTGGTCCTTAGGTCCACCATTATAGAAACAAGCAATATAATCAAAAGAGATTCTTAACCGAACCGACAGTTCCGGTTAAGCAAAACGATCCAATAATGTGATCCTCCTTGTAAAAAATGAGAAATAATACTTTCTGTGTTCACTATTTAAATTCCCTGAATCAGATCCACACCATAAGCTGCAAAATGGCCCTGGAACTTTCTTTTGTTACAAGTTTCTTTGTTATTAGCTACAGAAATATGTATGCAGAAGCAAACTGAAGAAACTGAGAAAGACACTTTTGTTTCCTTCATGGAACTGCTTTGGTGTAAATGTATTGATTTAGTGTATATATTTTGCGCATAAGTCGAATGGAAAATTGAGAAAACAGTAGGCATATCTATATATTGTAGTTACATAACATTTTATTGCTCAAGCTTATGTTGACAGCCAAAGCCAGAAGAAGAATACAGAATCTGGACCAAGGAAGAAGAATCAAGACCTTTTAAAATCTTGTGAAGAAGAACATATCATAAGCTTCAAACTTTTGCTTTAGGCTGTACACACAAGATAATTCTCAAATGTCCCACGAGATAATGGGTTAAAAGCTTCTTGCTTTCTATATATCTATGACTTGGCAGCTAACAAGTTCAGCAGCACCAAAGTCCTTGCTTGCAATGACTTTCCAGATAACAGTGTCTGACTTGTTACCACCTACATTGCCCTTTCCACTCAAAACAGAGCTGAATCTAGACGAGGACGACGATGATGAAGATGATGAAGATGATGAGTCTGAGATGTCAGGGACATCAGCACGTAACACTGTAACGTTATGATTAGCATCTCTAGTAATGAAATGAAGCTTCCCGTGAAACCCAGCAAGCAAATAAGGAGACTCTGAATCAGTCAAGTCATAAATAGGAACTTCCCCTATGACAACTTTCCAAGCATCTTCCTTCTGATCATAAACCTTAATCTTCCCGTTCTCCATCGAAGAAGATGGGTCAAAAGCGTATAGCTCACCGTCCACCACAACGCTCAGTTTCGTACCGGCCTGCCTCGCAGGCCATCCTTCGCCCATACCGGAAGGCATCTCGACCCACAGATTCGTCTCCGGGTCGAAAACCTCTCCTCCAACATCAACAAAGAAAGGCCAAGAGTACAAACTCTGAGGCACACACAACCTACCGTCGTAACAAGTCATCCCCGTGGCGATAGGCTTAAGCAAGTCAGCCAAGAACGCGTTAGGCAGCACCTGCGCCTTCGTGAAAGGCATGCTCGGAACTTCCGACCAAGCGTCGGTGTTCGGATCGTAAACCTCCGCTGTCTGAAGCGGAGATAAACCTCCACGTCCACGATCAACACCTCCGACAACGTACAGTTTCCGATCCAACACCCCTGTCTTCGAATAAGCCCGGTTCGCCAGCATGGAGCTCACTTCACTCCAAGAGTTAAGAACCGGATCGAAACGCCAAACGCAGCTCACGGTCTTAGACTTCGAGATACCTCCAAGGACGTAGAGGCAGCCGTTAACCGCAGCTATAGCACAGCCACAAAAGGGCATTTGCTCAGAGGGAACTCTCCTACCGAGCAAGATCCTCACGATCTCAGCGACTCTAACACTCGAGCTAACGAAGTTCCACAAGCTCCTTCTCGATTCCTCTTCGTATACAATGACAGGCATCGGAGGCAGCCTCTGCCATCTCGTGGAGACGGGATCCAAAGCGTACCACAAAAGCTTATCCTCTTGGCCTTTGGTAAGCACGTAGAGCCACTCCTCTGTTCTCTTGAGCTCTTTCCTCAAGCTGTAGAGCTCGGAGGTCGATACAGCTGATCTCCACCTCCGTGAAACCAACCGCACACTCGAGTAGCTGATTCTTGGGAGCCTCGCGAGAATCTGAATCGATAACTCATCGGGAAGACTTGGAATCAATCTGCAGTACTCTTCTACGTCTTCTGTCGATGAAGAAGAACAAGTCTTTCGTCTTTTGCGCGATTCGCCTGCGAATTCGTCGTTCTGATTTGTCGCTTTCCTCTTGGAACAGCTCAAGCTCATTACAGAACCCATGATAGCTTCGGTTATCGACGAATCAGGAAGAGTCTCTGCAGCAATTGATAAGTTCACATAATTAGGCGTATGAAAGAGATAAATCGGAATTACAAACAAGAACACATGATCGAGAAATTAGCTCGAAACATAAACAAACAAACAAAAAAAAAACCTTTTTTTCTTTCTCTGATTCGACATAAATCAGCATAAATCTCAAGAGCCGGTTTCAATTAATTCGATACCCACAAGCTTAATTACATACTTAGTGAGGATCCAGAGAGATCAAGGAGTGAAATTTGAATTCCACGAAACTCGATAAAACCTAAGTAACTTAATACCAAAAAAAACCGAAATTACTTCAGACAGTGAGGAGTAGGATTGAATCGGGACATGAAAAAACTAACCGATGAAGCAAAAGACGTGGAATCGAGGAGTGGAATCTTGAGATCTCTCCTAACCACACGCATGTCTTTTTTTTTTTGGGTTCGAAGATGAATTTTTGTAGTTGAATCCATATGACGCACGATTTTATTTCTCATTTCTTTCTTTTTTTTAAGACTTTTGTGTAATTTAATGGTGACCCTTGGATAAATGAACTGTACAAGGATTTTAGGTTATCCGGTCTACTGTTCTTCGGAAGTCAGCTAAAACTAAAATTATATATTTTGTTGATTATTATTGTTGAGTGAGCAATATAACAAGCTGTGAAATTCAAGATTCTTCTGTGTTGAATGAAAATTACATGCTGTTGACAAAGTCACTCTTGAAACAATTCTTTCTTATTTTTATTTAATTTGAAAGAATTGAATAAATGCATGTACCAGTTGGTGGTTGGTTTGGTTTGGTTTGGTTTGCTCTCAAACCTCCTCTTCCCGCCAATCTCGCTTTCAATTGCATGTGTTTGCTCTCATCGTATGTCTCCGCCATTACAACTGATTAGTCTGATAATGGTTTTTCAACTTAATTTTGTTCTGAAACATCAGATTAATCGGTTCTTGCACTGCTTGTTTGGGCTAATTAGATCCATACTTTATGCACCATGACAAGGAAATGAAATCTCTATAGCATGCAACAAAGTTAAGGGTAATGTTAAAAGATTGACAGATTTTGAGACTAATATCTGATTCTGTGTTTGTGCAATGTGAAAGCCTTATTTTCTGTTTTGTTGAACATAATCTAATCTCTCTATAGAAATACTTTTAAGATTATCTCTTTCACAACAACATTGTTTCAATGACGTGCACGTGATGAGCAAACATAAACCAGTGTCTTGTTAAATCATCAATACAAGAAAACGCTTAAAGGACAAAAATCGGCAGGAACAAAGAAGGCACTCTTGTGGGTTCAAAAGGAAACTTTGAAAGGGCCACATTTCATGAATAATGAATCTTCAATAGTTTTAAGTCCTGGTCTTTGCTCTGGTTTCAGGAACACTTAGTACGATATATACTCAGTACCACATGAAATCATCTATATCCACATGATATTACAACATTTCCCATCATCTACACAAACGTATGTCTAGTTTTTTCACCCTTTTTACTTGCATAAATCTGTTAAAAAAAAAGAACTCATCTTCCTTTTTTCCCTGGTGAGAATAAGAAAAAGTGTAATGTAGAATGATAATGATGGCAAATAGCTGTGGAGAGTAGTATAGTAGTAGTAGTAGAATGATAAAGGGCCGACCTTGAATTGTATATAGAGATAGGTCCACCCAAAACCGTAGAATTAATGATGATATGTATTTTCAGTTTTAACTAGTCTTCTAAAAAGATACTTTGACTACAAATTTAAACATAAAATCACACCAAAGTCCAAATATTGTGTACCTCTAAAGACCCTCTTACCGAGTAACCTAATGAACCTGTCCATAAACCCTAGGAGGCATTAATGAATGCATTTATCTAATTGATAGAGAAGTTTACTTTTCTGATCAGTCTAATTGGTACGTTACTCATTATTATTGGTTTACTAATCCTAATAATTAGTGGTACGTATACTTCTATTTATCTTTTCTTGTTACCTCTTATCAATGAGTTGTGTGACACTAATTGGATTTCTCTATTTCGCAAAGTGTAAACATATGAACAACGAAGATCCTTTCTAACAATGTTACATTTCCTTAGACAAATCTGGCTTCTTTAGCTTTTTGTCTACGTCTGATGATGTAATGTGATACTGATTGAGTCGAAAGTCTGTACAACAACAACAACTACTACAAAAATAGAAGCAGAGATGCTTTTGGAAAAAGAGTAACTTTAAAAAAATAAAAATAAAAATGTTACCAACCTTAAGCATCACACTTCTCTCTACCACTTGATGTCTTTATGAAATTACAGCTGTCTCTTCTTGATATGACTTGCTCTGCCACTTCATTCTCACTCCTCTACCTCTAATAATCACCCTTCTCTGTCTCTCTCTCTTTCTCTACTCCAAAAAATGATTGATCTATTTATTAGATTAATAGCTACTTGATATATAATTATGCATTTACATTCCTTAATTCATGAATTTTGTTCGTTACTATCTGTTAGTTTATATAACCCATTACTTCGAATACTTTCTTGGCTTAGAGTAAAAGTAACGGTATTGATCTATTATGACTTTCAAACCAAGTTTATATAGCTTTCCTCGGGTACTGTTAAGTATGAGATATAAACACTTGTCATTTGCATGGATAAGACACTCAAATCATCACTCTTAATCGTTTTTATGAGAATTAGGACCACATAAGGAAATACAGTTTGTTATGTGTACGAATGTATCACAACCACATAGATACATATCTGTCTCCATGAACTATATATACAAAACTGGCATGTTTACATTTGATTGATATTTTATATGTATTTGGCTCCATCGAAACAGCTATGAATTTGCTTTCTTAACTTTTAATTCAACACTTTTCTTTATAAGTTATTTGAGGTATCGATCGATTGTTTCAAATGCAGTTTCGCATTGAGATTTTCTTATTCATATATATTTTATTTTAGAAAATATCTTCACTTTTTCTGTTTTGTATTAGTTTTTTTTTGTTTCAACACGAACGAAAGGTCTTTTGTTGGAATTTAGTTTATAGTATAAACTATGTAGTAGAAAAGGGTAATTAAAATAAAAAAGGAGCATATATCTCAAGATCTCAAGTGGGGGGCTGTTGACCCTCTTAAAAGAATCAAATTATTCCACCTCTCGCTTTCCACCGTCGTCTGATTAGAAATCACTGAAACAAAGATTAAGCAGTACTTATCAGTTGCTTACCGCCTTAATTCATTAATAATCATAACTTCTCCTCTTGTGTAGACAGGAAAATATCACTAGTCATATTCGTTCACTACTAATAATAATTAGAGAAATGCTAAGAAAAAGAAAGGTGTGTTTAAATTTCAAATTTTTTTTTTATTCGACGGTAAATCTGATTTTCCTATTAAAATTCAAGATATTTGAGGTAACTGACTAAAACTAAGAAGCTCAAAATATTCAAAATAAAATCGTAAATAAATGGAGCTTACGTACAGAACTTATATACTAGGACCCAATGAAAAGAAAAATCACTCTCTTTACCTCTCTGTGATAAAATTATGCTAATACACTTGTGCCCTTTAGGGGATGACACGTGTACTCAGATTTTCACCTCAGCTCTGTTGTTTTTCTCCGAAGAAGGGTAAATTACTTTTCCACCGCTGTTAATCTTTGACAAACTTGTTTAATATCGTAAACAAAATATTGAATATGTCATTTATTTTTGTTATCTAAGGGATATTATGTTATCTTTTTGTACATGTTAAAGATATTTAAAGTATTTTCATAACTAAACAACAACTATTAGGGTTTTTTTTTTTTTGCAATGTGACAATAATTTGCATATAATTTGGAAAATAACGTATGAATCCTAAAATATTTACGACATTTAAAGAGGCAGGTGGCATAACACTTGTAAAATATTCCCATGGAGAATAAATGAGTCAATAAATAGATTTTCAAATGGTTAGAGAGAGAGAGAGAGAGCGAGAGAGAGAGAGAAAGAGCAGCTTATGGATATGGACCATCATCACACCATTAATAAGAAAACGAAACATTCTCTCATAGACTCATAGTCCATTATTTATGAGAATTTTAAACACTTATGAGAGAGCTCAAAGAGAAGACATTTTATGAGAGCTTGATGATCACAAAACATTTATGAGAGCTTGGCGACAAAAGAAACATTTAGTAGAGATTTATTTCGTGTGATTGAAATTTAGCCTAGACAACAAAAATGATTTTTTTTGGGTTTTCTAACCATCAAATTTTGTATTGATCGTTCTATGAGAGTAGGAAAAGGGTAGAGAATTGAGAAAACTAATATCTAAAAAGAAGGATTAATAAAACTAAAAAAAGGAGGGAAAGTCTCTTTGTGAAACCGAGGTTTTGAGTTGTCCGACGCTTCCCATAGATTTCATGGTCCCCTTCTTCCACTGCCACCACTCATTTCTCTCGCACCATCATTCTTATTATATACACAAATACACATTCTTCATCATTATAATTTTTCTATACTAAAACCATATCCATTCTATTTTACTATTTTTTCCTCTAAAATAGAGGAACTCTAAAATAAAAGTAAATTTCTTTTTAATACATCTCTATTTTAGAGGAATACCATTATTTTAGAGGAAAATATAGAGAAACCTATTTTTTCCTTTATATTTAGAGAAAAAAATAGCATCTCTATTTTTTTCTCTAAAATAGAGGTGGATTGGAGAACAAAAATGACATCTTTATTTTTTCATCTAAAAGTAAAGGAAAAAATAGCAATAGATTAAAGATGCTCTAAGCATTTTTCAGATTTTTAATGCCGATGGGTTCATAGGGCTTAATATCGTCTCCATAATTAAGGATCTTTTAATTATTTTCTTTCAATTTTTAGCAAACCGGTTTGTAAAAAACGCCAGTCTTTAAGCCTCGATTATTGGTTGTCTCGTAACTACTACGAAACATCAAGTTTCCAAACGTTTTGGCATGCGTTTTAATATCAGTCATATAAACTGTTTGGTACAACGTTTCAGTCGATATAAATAAGAAAGTTGCCATTGCAAGTGATTCGAAGAAACTTTATACCAAAGTTTATTTATGGATTGGATTAGAAACAATGGATTAATAGAATAAAATCTGACAATTACTACTTGTGCACGTTCAATATTGGTAACAGAAATAAAGCAAAGTATACTCTTAGCTTACAAGATATATATACTTCACTTTTGTATTAAAATTCATTTTTTCCCCACTTTTGCATTTATTATATATATATATATATCTACAATTTGCATATCAGCTCACATTGTTTGAATAGAATACATAACATTCCTTTTGAGATATCCGCCGTTAAATGGGTCCGAAATGCCACTTTGAAGTGTAAATAATAAATAATTTAGGATTTCATTATAATAGTTCTCAACGAATCTATCGTCGTACTACATAATCAATCTCGATCAACTAAGTCACTAGTGCGGCATCTATATTACACTATATCTATAATTTCTACAATACAATCAAGGTATTGATTGTTTTAATGTACTAACTTACTAAGTAATGTTTAATCAATTAATAGATCTATTGTTGTGCTTCTGCTGCCACTATAAGAGTTTTGTGTTGAAGGGGGAGAAAAAACCCAATAAATGGTTGATATAAATTTTCTTAGACTGATGATGACTTGCAAACATCACAGAGACCTATGTCCTAAAAAGAATTTTGAGTATGTGCATGAAACTAAAAGGATACATACAAAGAATCTCATCATTCCCATTTATTCTTTTTTGGCAAATGTTGCGAAATGTAGAAAAAGGAGGCATAAACGAAATATATGAATTGGGTAAATAAAATATTAAATAATTTATTCAGTTTCTTATTATTTGATTTTTTCTTGGATAAAAAAACCCATAAAATCAGTAGCTCGAGGGAGGAAAAGAGGGAAGGAGCACCTAAAAAAGCGAACACTAAAACCCAAAATATACAAATGTAAAATATAAAATCAATTAAAACCCCACTCAAAATCCTATAAACATTCAATGGCTCTTTACTTTTATTAATCCTTTAGCAAAGAAAAGGGACCAAATGTACCTTAATAATTTATTAGTATGTTTTATGTTGATCGTTGGAATCTCTCAATAATATAATCTTCACCGTGAAATTTCAATGTCAATGTAAAATACCTTTTGAAAAGACCAGAAGAATTTTACCACCAAAAAGACATAAAGAATCTTCTACTTGGTTCCCCTCTCTTTTTTTTTTTTTGAGTCATTTACCTCAATAATCTAAATAATTTCCAATGCATAAAGTTGGCAAGAAATCAATCTTGTTATTTATGTAATTTGCAATATATTAAAAATGTTATTCACATACTTTTGAAATGGTTTAACATCGAAAGTTTGGTAATCAAATAGTCAATGGTGAAAAATGGGTATTAGACACCATAACTGAAAATTATAAAGTTATACAATCATATACATTCATGATTGTTAAGGGATTTTTCCGTTGTCTTTTATTTTCTGTTGTGTTTATATTCGACAATTAGAGATTTTATTCAGACAAAAGAATCAATTTCTCCAAAGACCAAAACAAACAGAGCCAATGGAGACATGGAGTAGTAGTTTCTACAAAGAGAAACAAACTTATTATAATTTTCAATATCTATATTTATCAAGTGTAAGAAAGAAAGAAAAACACAGTACCACAAATTTAGAGAAATCTCATGAAAAAAATCATTGTCCAATATGTCTTTGTTTTCTTCAAAAAAAATATTTCTTTTCCAAACCCTTTTTCCTTTCATTTTCAAATCTCAACTCTTTTTATTTTTCTTGTATTACCCCATTTTAAAAGAAATAAAGAAAATTTGGAAGGAAAAACAAAAATCAGACAAAATTACCAATCATCTTTCCTCCTCAGTAGGAAACATCCATCATTGTACCCAACAATCCCTTTCATCCTCAGAATCAAAAACCTCAGCTTCCTCCTTCTTTTTCTTCTTCTTCTTCTTTCATCTATACATACACATGTACACTCGTACATATTACACATACAACACGTATACATACACCTCCCAGTCTCTATATAACCTTTTTATTCTCCCCTATCTTTTTTCCCTCTCCCCCAATTTACTCACTTCTCTTTCTCTCTCTCTCTCTCTCACAGTATCTTTTCAATTGATCATCGACCCACCAAAGAAAAAAACTTACAAAAATCAGATCTTTGACAAAAAAAAATGGATCCGTCCTCTGCAAGCTCAGTGAACGGATTCTACTCATTTCTGAACAGATCAATGGATGATCTCGAAAGGGTTTATCTCTCGAACAGCTTCATGTCCGTACACTTTTTACAGAGAGCTCTCTGTCTTCTCCGTACCTCTCACTCACATCTCACTCTCCTCGTTCAAAAACTCCAACTTCCCGTCGGCGACAAGTGGCTCGACGAGTATATGGACGAAAGCTCCAGGCTTTGGGAAGCATGCCTCGTCATCAAATCCGCCGTTTCTTCGATCGAAAACTTCTCCTCCGCCGGAATTTCCATCGCCTCAACACTCGACGGCCACCATCACCACCGTCGTCTGTCCCCTCAGCTTTCTCGCCAGGTGGGTAATCGGAAAAATTGAATCTTTTTAATTTTGTTTTTCTGAGATCATAATTCAAAGTTTCAGTTTTTCTCTGTTTTATTGGTGTCAATGGTGGATTAGGTGATAAGGGCGATATCAGGGTGTAGGAGAGAGGCGATTGGGATAGAGGAAGAGAACAGAGCTTTAATGGAGAATCGAGCTCAGAGGTTTCCGTTTTGGTCGGAACAGACGGTGGCGACTGCGACGGCGATCGAGTCGTCGACGAAGTTACAGAACGGATTCTGTGGTTTTCGCGGCGTACTGTACGCGACGAGGAACATGAGCTCGCTTCTGCTTATGGTTTTGATGAACGGTCTCGTCTACTGTTTTCCCGGCGACGCAACGCTATCGCAGACACAGACGCAGACGCAATCGCAGGTTGGAGTCAGCGGTTTCGCCGGAGCGATGGGGAGGTTGCAGCAGAGAGTGGCGGCTGAGGTGGGGAGGATGGGGATGAGGAAAGGAATATTGATGCATGAATACAGGAGGAGCAAAGCGGCGTTGGAGGAGCTTAAGGCGGAGCTTGAGCGACGGTTCTGCGGCGGTGGAGGCAGCGGAGGAGGAGGGGAAAGCGAGGAGGAGGAAGAGAGGGAGTTGAGAGAGAGAGTGGAGAATCTGAAAGGGTATTTTGGTAATTTAAGGAATGGGACAGAGAGTATAGTGGCGCAAATCGATGATTTCTTTGATGAAATTGTTGAAGGAAGAAAAAAGCTTTTGGATTTCTGCAGCCATAGATGAATATCAAAAGCTGACATTTTTTTGCCAGTTTAAAACTCAAAAAAAAAAAAAAAAAAGGGTAGACTAGTAGGCTTAGATGAATCAGTTGGTAGGAGTTGTTGTAACTTTTTTCTATTTTGTTATGAAAAGAAATTTTAAATTTTAGTTTTACGTCTATTTTAGTATTTTGATGCTTATATATAAAATTCTAGAAATGGAGTTTATTCTCTGAATCATATCTAAAGTAAATGTCTGCTTTTCAGTTTTTGTTCCAGCCCGTTGAAGATGTTTGTTGTTCTGTAAAAAATTCAAATAATGTGTGTTTGGATATATAGAAAATAAAGATATTAGATTAGTTGGGGAGAGACATGCAAGACGATATTCATACACAAAATATATAAGATTAATTAAACAATGAGACACTAAAAAAGTGCAAAACATAATCTAACAGTAATTCCAGTACTAAAGGTTTAGTAAGATTTTAGATTGGATTAGTCAAATATATAACATATTTTCGTAGACTTAAGAGTATCAATACGATTTTCAGTGAATTAATCGGTAAATAATGTAAATATTGTTTATGTGCTGTTTAGACGATTTTAGGTTAGTTGATTCAGTGAGAAAAGTTAGTGAATATAGACAATATGTGTGATTTTTATGAATTAATCGGTAAATATTAGATTTCTTTTTGTGGGTATATGAATTTTAGGCCGAAACTAAAACTAATCCAAATCGCAAAATACCAAGTAAAAGTTTAGTGAAAAATGTTCATATCGAGCACTATATTATTAGACTAATACAACTTGAATTAAAAAAAAAACAATTGGTTAAAGAAAGGAGAGAATCAAAATGGGATGCTTCTTGTTGTCTCGCTGAGAAGAAAAGTAGTGAACAAAGCCAATGATCAAAACTGGAAAAATTGATTTGATTTGATTCACATAGGAAGGAGGAAGGAAGTAGGAAGAGAGATATTAATTTGAATTGGTGTGTGATTTTGTGGAGTTAATCAATAATCATGATGAAAATGGATCCTTTGTAAAGCAGATTTGTCTTTTGATTTCTTCTTTGGCACTCTCATCTAAATATATATGCTTTGGGCACACCATTTGGTGGCTTTTGTGTCAATAATTATGATTATTACCAATTTCACACCCTAAATCCTTCCCCACCCACTGTTTTAAAGCACTCCTTCTTTACTTCTTTAAGTTTCTAATTACTTATTTTAATTATTTGCTTTACACACAATTCACTCATCTTTGCTTTCTCCTTTTTCTACCCAAAAAATCATCTTTGACAAAATATTCAAATTTTTTTTTCTGCCCCCTTTGTCTTTGTATCTATGAATTAATCTTAACCTTCGATAATCACTTGGTATATATCTATCAATCAAGTGCCAAAAGTGCCAATTCCCATTACTGTCAGCTATGTGTTAGTTCTTGATTTTCAATAGGACTAAAGTTTGAACCCACTAGACACAAATCATGTCTACAAAATTAACTTATCAAGAATATTAAAAATGAGTACAAATCAAATGTATTTGTTCAACTATATATTTAATAACAATCATTCCAAAAGCCAATACTTCACTAAATGCACACAACACTTGCATGATGCTAGCAAATCCAAACATATAGTCTAGAAAGCTTATTTACTATATATATATATGAAAACAATCTCTCCTTTCTAAGCTAGTAAGCTTAAGAACATCACCAAGATTATTATTGGCAACGATGAAGAAAGAGAAGCCTTTTCCTCTCTCTTCAATTTGTGTGTGTGTTTGCCTCTTTGGCCTTCTATATACATATTTTTTTTTAATCAAAAAACTGTATAGTGCTTCGCAAAAAAAGAATTTCAATAAGATTTAAGTGAAATATGGAAGATAGAAAATAATAATAATATAATATTATAGATGAGGAGAAAAACTGTATAGTGCTTCGCAAAAAAAGAATTCCAATAAGATTTAAGTGAAATATGGAAGATAGAAAATAATAATAATATAATATTATAGATGAGGAGAGAAGTCACTATCAAAACCAAAAAAAATGCAGAATCTCAAAAATGCTTTTAGAGACTCTCACCAGAATTCCATGCTTTGCCTCCCAAGTAGGACACCAACTTTCTCAGCTGATTGATTTACCAAATAAACATTAAGTACCATTCACCAAATGCACAATGATAAAAACAATAGATGTTCATAACAAATGATGTATTATTCCTTTTGTCACAGTTTCTTTTTTACTATTTTCTTCAGAGTGTAATGATTTTCTTCCAAGGTAAAAAAAGCAATGATTGAGGTCAGAAGCAAGTTTTCCTCTGGTTACAGAAACTATTTGTGTTTCCCAACATATCAACATCCTGAAATTATATTATTTCATTTTCTATAAAAATTTCATCTGCATCACAGCTAATTTTCCAAAATTTGTTTATTTAAGTTCTATTATTACCGCTTGAAAAGAACATAAAGGGATACACTTGTCTATGTACACAAAGCATTGTAAGAATTACGACCATAGCAACACAGGAAAGTTTGTTTTTTTGTTCCCCCAAATGTTGATCTAAGTTTTGCAAATTTACGGAATGTAAACAGTTGACATTGTAAAATAGAGAAATGGGTGTTTGAATTTAGATTACCATGGCGAAAAAAAATGAGGGAGATTGTGCTGTCGCGTTCTTGAAGCTGACTCACATGTCAAACGCAGGCATTGCAAACTGAGAAGCAAAAGCCTCGACTTGGTTCCGAAGATCTGCAATGTCTTTACAGTGATAGATGCTTTTGAGCGGCTCCTTCTGCAACTTCCCGTGTTCCCTTTGTGCAGCACTTGCTATCTGAGCAGCTCTATACAGAAACTCAGCCATTGTCTCAAAATCTGCTTCTAAGCAACCTCTTGAGGTCATACCAGGACTACCTGAGACAGCAAGAACAAAGAAACGAGTTGGATTCTGATTCTAATTTCCAGAGTGTTGAGGTTTCCTTGGGAATTTTGATTTGCTTACCTATTCTCACTCCTCCAGGGGAAATAACACCGTTTTCGCTGAAAATGGCAACTTTGTTGACCGTGATATGGCACATCTCGCACACTTTTTCATAAACCTTTCCTGAAATCACGAGGACGAAGATTTGAATCGCTTTTGGTGACACAGCTAAAAACATGCATTGTACAGACGTCAAAGAAGTGAGTCCGTTTGATTTTAAGAAACTAGACATATAAGTTGTGTTACGATCTCAAACAAGTTTGATTATAGATACCAGTCACTGATCACTGGCGATCAACAACCTAGAGAGACGAATATTTAAGTGATAGCCTAAAAAACTCAGCCATGTCTCGAATAGCTTAGCAAAATTTCGCCAATATACCTAAGCAGATATATAACATCATGAAAAGCAATGCTGCCAATAGCTTGTATAAGACATACACTTGAATCACATCGTGCTATTAATTTCCTTATCTGCTGAGAGTAAGAGGAACTAATCACATACCTGTCAAGCCCAAAGGAGTCAGATCCCAAAGAAGCAAATGATTATCGGTGCCACCTGTTATCAACTTGCAGTTTCTGCTTATCAACGCAGATGCTAAAGCCTTAGCGTTTTTCTTGACCTGTCGCATGTAAACCTTGTACTCCGGTGAAGCGGCCTGCTTGAGGGCAATGGCTAGAGCAGCTATATGGTTATTGTGAGGCCCTCCTTGTAGCGATGGGAAGACAGAAAAGTTGATTTTTTCTTCGAAATCGTATTGGACATCGCTCTCACAGTGATTAAGATTAATGCTTTGCTTCTTATTCTTCAAGCCTCTCCTGTAAAATATGATACCTCCCCTAGGTCCACGTAGAGACTTGTGTGTCGTTGAGGTAACAATATCGCAATAATCGAATGGATTTGGACTTTCCTACAACATTCAAAAGAAGCCAAAAACGTCAAGAGGATGCCAAGAAAAGCAGGCTAAATAAGTATCACTGAGTAAACACAAAGATCATGTTAAGCCTCAAGTTCAATGATTGATGCCAAAGAGAGCCCACTGCATAGCATACTATGGATCATGAGTATGAACGTACCTTGGCAGCCACAAGACCGCTGATTTGTGCCATGTCAAACATCAGAACAGCTCCACACTTGTCTGCAATATGCCTAAACCTAGGGAATTCCCAGTCTCTCGGATACGAACTCCCTCCACAGATAAGTATCTTGGGACGATAGTCAAGCGCCTTCTCCTCAAGCTTCTCGTAATCAATATACCCTGTACGAGGGTCGACCTTATACGGGAAGCTCTCGAAGAATATGGACGCACCAGAGACTTTCTTCCCACCTGGTGTGTAATACCCGTGGCTCATATGACCACCTGAAGGAGAATCCAGTCCCATAATCCGTTCACCGGGCGACAAAAGACCGGCGAAAACAGCGAAATTCGCCGAAGTGCAAGAGTAAGGCTGCACATTAACTCCCCATTTCTCATGGTGGAGTCCAAAAGCTGCAAGCGCACGCTCTTGGCAAAGAATCTCAATCTGATCAATATACTGGTTCCCCGTGTAGTACCTTGCTCCGGGCATCCCTTCCGAGTACTTGTTCGTCAAATGGCTCCCCAGAGCTTCCATTACTGCACGGCACACGAAATTCTCAGAAGCGATGAGCTCTATTCCTCTGAACTGTCTCTGCTTTTCCTTTTCCATGAACTCATGAATCTCGGGATCAGCTTCTTCAAGCGACTGGTTACCCCAAGCTCTCACGGCGGCTCGTCTACTTTCGATCCCGGAATCAGCAGCAAGTCTCTTACAAGGGCTTGGCGATGACATTGAACAGCTACCTCTAGACCGTTTAAGCTTCATCGGATGACCCAAGAGGATGAATTGCTCCTCTTCCCTTTGATCATCGTCATCACCATCTTCGACGTCGTCGTCTTCCTCGAAGACCCGGCTACGCGATCCGGTGTCATCGAATCTCTGCTCCAGGAGCTGAAGCGGAACAGGAGGCATCGGATTAGGCGATGGACGGAAGCTGGAGTCAATCTGAAGCGTGATCGAGTCATCAGCAATCGGGATTCTCGGAGGATGTAGCGGCAAAGCGTGGGAGCTACCGAATCCCAACGAGAGATCGGATTGAGCACGGTCCATAATCGAAACCCTAGAGAGCAAATTTCCCCCAAAAATTCGAAAAATCGAGGAAGAGAGAAGAAAGGGTGGATTTTTTGGAGGATGCCGAATCGAACTTTCTAGCTGAAAAAGCAGCAGAAACAACGACAACAGGAGCAACGGCGGAGACAAAGAAACCTACTTTTACGATTATATACAGAGGAGGTTGAGGTTTCCATCCAAAGAAACCCTAAAAGATCAAAACCCAGAGAAGTCGAATTTCGTTTTCTCTCTTCGGATGGACGGAAGAAGCTAGGCTATGTGGATGGAAAGATGAATTAAAAAATAATAATAATAATAATAATAATACCGAAAATGGTAATTGGGAGGGCTACCGGCTGAATAGGTAAAGACGGCGACGTGACTGATTCTAGACGCCGCCTACTGTTCGAACCGAGTGATAATGAAGAAAACCGGGATTAGCCGGTGACTTCTTTTCAGTTTCTGTATCTAAACCAATCCAATCAATACTTTTGCAGTTTACTCAATTTGTAAGTTTTTATACTAAAAAGAAAAACTCTTTTAAAACAAACTAGTGTATAAATATATTTTTACTTGTCAAATACATTATGCTGTTTTAAGGTTTATAGATGGTATTAATTTTGGTATTACTTTGTAAGTTTCAAATGTTACCACATTTCGCTACTAATCAATAGTATTTCTTTCCCATCGTTGTACAAATCATATACTCTGATAATACTAATTAGCTGCTAACTTTCGCAATTGTTATCAGTGCTGGAGTTACAACTATTAATTTATTGACGGCAGATTTTTTTAAAATATCTTAATATTAAACACGCTAAATATTGTAAAAAAAAACAGAGCCACCTAATTTTTTTTTTTGTAAAAGCATAAATAGTATTCGGTGGCTATATTTTTTACTATAAAATCTAGCTGAACCCAATTTTGGGCTTTTTTCATGTTTGTGGTATTTTTTTATGTACCTAAGTTGTGGTCAATATAATTATTTTTCAAAACATATTATATAATTTTTAAAAGTTAAAAGGGTTATTAGACCATCCACAATGGGAATCTCTCATGCTCTTACCATTCGAAGTTGTGGTTAATATAATTAATGTTCAAAGCACAATACTGTCTCAACTCCGTGATTGTTACTGAATTCACCATGTTTAAGCCAGTTGATACATCAAGTCAATGGCTTTCTAGTTCAGTTTTTGAGAAACGTTCTTAATTCTTAACAATATAATATGAAATTTAAATTGCCATTAAACCACATAATTTCTTTTTAAGTAACCTAAATTAGAAATTTTTAATGATTTATTTATAAACACAACCGCCTAAACTTGTGTGGTTTATAAGAAAACCTTTTAAGCGTTGAAAGAAACAAAAACTTAAATAATATATTCTTAATATGAGCTAGATTACATATAGACACATAATCAAGAAGGAGGCTGGAAACATACAAGTATATGATCGGTTTATTACATATTAGTAGAATCAAATAAGTAATTAAGTATATGCAATATAATTATACAAAAATATCCTATTCTGCCGAGTGTTGACTATATAGTATAGACTGTTAATACTTTGATTAAAAGTCAGTTTTCAGTTTATTCATACGATAAAAAAGGACATTCGTCATATTAATTGGAAATTAGTAATTTATAAGCAAATATAATTCAACAAATTATTAAAGTTTCTTGACTTGTTTCACATAGTTTGTTGGTCAAATTCTCATTTCTTTGAACATCTAATTAATTATAACTGGAAGTGTGTAAATCACCTGACATACTAGATTCTTTGAATTAAAAAAAAAAAAGAAGTCAAAGTTGCAATAAATAAGGATTGTTACTTAATTTCACTGACCTGCATTAAATTTCATTTCCGTTAAAATTTATACGGCTTGAAACTTTATTCTCTCTTCTTCACTCAGCTTTCTCTCTCTCTGTCTCTGAGTCAGTGAGTCTCTCTAACCATGAAGCCCAAAGTCTCGAAGAGACTAACACTGACATGGGTTCCGCTTCTCTGCATCTCCTGCTTTTTCCTCGGAGCCATTTTCACCTCCAGGTTCTTGATTTTCTTTTTCTCTATATTAAGTTTATTCTTCTCCTTCATTAAATCTTTTACGGTTATAAAATCGTGTCATGCATTATTTTTCAGATTTCGAGGACCATCGTCGGATTCCGGTAGCCAGCTCTTTTTACATCCCCGACGTGATCAGGAGCTTAAGATAGTTTCAGAAGATTATCATCATGAGAAAGTATTCTCTTTTAAATCTTTTTATTATCTCATTGACTGAATCTGAATTTGACAATATCATCATAGGAGTTGTTTCAAATGTTATTTGGATACAAAAACCTGACATTTTGTTTTTTTTTTAAATATTTTGGATCTTGCCGAAATACAGAAAACATCACAAGAAAAAGATGTAATAGAAGAGGTTTTGAAAACCCATAAAGCCATAGAGTGAGTGTGTGATATAATAATATCAATATATTTTTGTTGTTGTAAATCTTAGACTTGCTTGATAAGTAATATATAATATTTTGCTGATCATTAATCTTTGTGACCCACAGGTCATTGGATAAGTCAGTTTCTATGCTTCAGAAACAGCTCTCCATTGCACAGAGTTCTCAAAAGATTGTTGATGCCTCACCAACAAATTCTTCAACAGAAGGAAACCAAAGGAAGAAAGTGTTCATGGTGGTTGGTATCAATACTGCATTTAGCAGTAGAGCACGGCGTGATTCGCTTAGAGAGACTTGGATGCCTCAGGGTTGATTATTTTTGTGATGTCCCTCTTTCAAAACTATGTTTCCTTTCATGCTTTACTGTCTCTAATCTTAGTTAGCTTTTTGTTTGCATGTATATATATATCATTAAAGGAGGGAAGATTGAGAAATTGGAAAAAGAGAAGGGAATCGTCATCAAATTCATGATTGGTCGCAGGTGAAATTCTAGTGGCATGCAATGTATAAGTCTATTGTTTGATTTATTTTACTAGAGTGAGACTCTTACTTAAGTGTGTGTGTGTGTGTATACGAAATTTGTTTGGCAGTGGGGAGGCAGATGGTGTATTGGATAAGGAAATTGATTCTGAAGATGCTCAATACAAAGATTTCTTTAGGCTGGTGAGATTAATTAATTAGACAACATGAATTTTTCTAGGATTAGTTTAGTATTTTCTTGATGTTTTCATATTTGTTTACTCATTGCAGGATCATGAGGAAGGATATTACAAACTGTCTGCAAAAACCAAAATCTTCTTTTCAAGTGCAGTTGCAAAGTGGGATGCTGAGTTTTATGTAAAGATTGATGATGATGTTCATGTCAATCTTGGTACGTACCAAACACTATTTCTAGCATTTTTGTTATCTTTCTCTCTTCTACTTGAAGTGTTGTATATATTGTTGAATGTCTTTTTGCCTTTGTAGGTATGCTTGCTTCCACATTAGCTAGTCACCGTCATAAGCCGAGGGTTTACATTGGATGTATGAAATCTGGACCTGTTCTTACAAAAAAGTAATAATCCCTTTTGTTATCTCATTTTTCTTTTCAATATTTTTCTATTTAATTGATTTGGAATTTCTCTCAAAACGTGTATAGAACGGCCAAGTATCGTGAACCTGAGTTTTGGAAATTTGGAGAGGAAGGTAACAAATATTTCCGGCATGCTACAGGACAGATCTATGCCATCTCAAAGGATCTTGCCACATACATATCTGTCAACCAGTAAGTCACTAGCCATGTGTTCTTGGATTCTCAAATATGTTTTATAACCAAAAGGGATATGATTATTCTCAAAGCATAACACTTTTATATTTGACTTTGCAGGCCGATTTTGCACAAGTATGCAAATGAAGATGTGACACTCGGGTCATGGTTCATCGGTCTTGAGGTTGAGCAAATCGATGATCGTAATTTCTGTTGTGGTACTCCTCCAGGTAATTAAAAGGTCTATGTATATTTTTTAGTAAATAAAAGGCATTGAGATTTTGTTTTTCTCATGTTTGTTACTCTCTTTTTTTTTCTTTCCCAAAGACTGTGAAATGAAGGCAGAGGCTGGAGAAATGTGTGTGGCGTCATTTGACTGGAAGTGCAGTGGGATATGCAGATCAGTCGATAGAATGTGGATGGTTCATGCCATGTGTGGCGAAGGTAATAAAGCTGTGTGGGATGCTAATTTATAACTTTTCTCTTTAGATTGGAGAAAGAGCTAAGAGGAGAGATGAACATTTTATTACTGTAAAGAACTAAAAGATATATATATATATTCGCTTACTGGAAAAGAAGACCTTTTAGTTCGGTATTTTCTTTTTATTTGTCGAAAATGAAAAAGAAAGAGAAATATTAAAGTTTTTTATATATAAATAATATGGAATTCGAACTCATGACTTTTAGTTGAAAAAGAATTTATCTACCACTAGACTAAGGATAGTTTTTAAACGTGGGAAACTTTATATGTAAAAATAGGCCTTAAACATTGGCTTGTTCTTCTTAGGTTCAGGGCGAGGCCTGTTGAGACCTAGTCCACTTAACTTTATTCGTTAACCGTAGAAGAAGTCTTACTAAATTACAAATCATGTCTTCAAAAAACTTTGTTCCAAAGGTTCAAGAAAAAAAAGGAAAAACTGTTATATGTTTACTTTTAGTTTTCACAAAAGTGGATGCATATATATATACCCATTTTTCCTATATAGTTATAAAAGAGTATTAATATGGGACATTTCTAACCCATAAATACATGTAATATGGGAAAAAGAAAAAATGAAAACGGAAAAAATATAAATAGTTGATCATTTATATCTAACTCTTAGCTTTACGTATTTTCAATTTTAATTTTAGCAAAATATTTTATTAATATTACAATAATCTAAGCATTCTTGAAATAATCAAACCTCTAAAAACTTTATTATCAAAGTCCAATTCAACAACTACACATTATACAACACCCAAACAGTATAAAAAAACTTAAAAACCACATACGTGAAACTTAACCTCTTCCTCGAAATAACATATTAACATAATATTTACGTGTTAATAATTTGGCAACCGAAAAATTTAGGTTTTATTAATTTTGAAAAGTTTTAAGAAAAAGAAGATTTGATTAGATCAGAATGTAATTTGATTGGGTTATTTCGATTATTAATATATAAATACATATATAATTAGTTAACAACGTTAAATTTTTGTTTAATATGATTTTTCTTCAAATATTTATTTATGATGTTCAAAAAAAAAAAATTATTTATGACAGAAGATAAATAGGGCATAAAAATAACAAAAAACACTGCAAAAAAAAAAGACGCAGAAAAATTAACATCAAACCGTGGCAAAACCGATCGGTTCAAAACAAGCTAACCGTAAACCAAAGTAAATTCCAAATGTTACCGATCAGTTTTTAAAGCACGTGATGCTAACTCGCTGTGACCTTTCTCTCTTTTGATTTCCGTCGTTAAAACTCGCCGTTTCTTTTCAGAGAACAAACGCTCTCGCCATAACGAACTGTTTTTCCCGCCATCACCTCAAGAACTTCATCTCTCTCGCGCTTCTTCTCTTCCTCCTGAATCGAACATTCAAATCTCCGAAATTGCAGGTATTTCTCCTTTACCCAGGGCTTGTCGATTCGATATCCGTATATAACTTGTTCGTTTGAATTGATTTGTGAATCTGTATTTGGAAAGAAAGTCGGAATCGATTTCTGGAAATTTCTTTGAATCGGCGAGTATTAAGTTAAAGTTTCTGTATATGGAGTGGTTACTTTGAGTAGATTCGTCAAATCGAAACCTTGGAAGCTGTTGATTTGGCGATGTATGAGCTGAGTTTTCTTCTCCGGAATTTAGGTTGGATTGTTCGAATCAATATGGATCATGTTTAACTTCGCATTTGCTTTTCCGGAACTTGACTTGCAAGTTATGTGGCGACTCGGAATTTTTGATTTTCTTCCTTCGATCTTTGTGTTCTGTTTCCTTTTGCAGGATTTTCCTTTGGGTTTATTCGTTATATCGATATGTATAAAGTTTGAATCTGTTGATTGGTGTTCAATGGAATGCTTTTTTTGAGAGTTTCTTGGATCGAATCGATCATGTTTGTCTTGACGGTCCTTTTTCCGAAACTTGACTTGCAAGTTATATGGCAACTCGAGAATTTTATTTTCCTCCTTCGATCTTGTGCTCTGTTTCCTTTTATGGAGTTTATGTTTGTTTTGAGTTTATTGGTCAAATCGATGCATGTTTAACTTGGCGTTTCTTTTTCCGAAACTTGGCTTGCAAGTTATATGGCAACTCGGGATTTTTATTTTCCTCCTTCGATCTTGTGCTTTGTTTCCTTTTATGGAGTTTATGTTTGTTTTGAGTTTATTGGTCAAAACGATACATGTTTTCTTAACTTGGCGTCTCTTTTTCCGAAACTTGGCTTGCAAGTTATATGGCAACTCGGGAATTTTCTTTTCCTCCTTCGATCTTGTGCTCTGCTTCCTTGTACGTAGTTCATGTTTTTTCTATGTTTATTGGTCAAAATTCGATACATGTGCTAATAATAGGTCGAGTCGATTTCTATTACAGTACATGTTTTACCTTTACCTTTGCGTTTGAGGGTTTGAAAGAATCGTTTCTCCCATACTTTTGGCGACTTTTTGGGTTTGATCCGATGGAATTTGACTCTGTAATATGGTTCTTGTTTGAAGGATATCCATCGATGGACAACGAAGTGGACCTTACTCTTTGGCATGCTTGTGCGGGATTGACCCATTTTCCAGCTCTACTCTCTTCCACTGTCTACTACTATCCTCAGGGGCACGTGGAGAGTTATTCTGGTTCTGCAGCACTACAAACCCTCTTTGCTCAGTTTCCGGCCATCAAATGCCACGTTGCTTCAAGAAGGTTTCTTGCAGATAAAGCTACAGATGAGGTTTTTGCCTATGTGTCTCTTAGGCCAATCCATGCAGATGTGGAAGTTCCTCAAACATCACTCACATCGCAGACTAAGATTCTATCTGGAGCAGTCAAAATCTTGAAGAGCAGCGACATAGGTGGAGGATCGGTGGACATTGGGGTTGCTTCTTTCTTTGAGAAACAAGAAATGGAGGTCACCATAAATGATATACATAACAAGGTTTGGACATTTCAGCACACGTACAACAGCGCATTGGATAGTCACTCTCTCACTGTTGGCTGGAACGACTTTTGCAACTCCAAAAAACTTCGGGCTGGAGATTCACTAGTGTTTTTGAAAACAAGTAGAATAAGAAGAGCAGTGAGTGTTGCTGAAGGCTTTTAGTACAACGTGGAAGAAAAGTTTAATCGAACCGGGAATGGTTTGTGCTCCGTCGAAGCCCTCGGTGAAGCCTTGGGTAGATCCCTTAGAGGACTTGAGTTTACTGTAGCCTATTATCCTACTCTCAACGGTTCACCATTTATCTTTACTCCAAAGAAGTTGACAAGTCTTCAAGTGTGCCTTGGGTTGTTGGTACGAAGGTCAAGAAGATTTGTTTTGTGAAAGGTCAACTAGCGAGGGTGTGTCATGAGGGTACCATTACAAGCTTAGCAAAAAAACCCCTGAAGTGGTCAGAGTCGCAGTGGAAGCAAATGCAGGTACGAAAAAATCTAGTAGAGGGGCATATGTTTGTGGTCAAGTTAAACACTAATAACGCTCTACTTATTTTCCCATCATTAGGTCTCATGGAATGTGGATCCACAAGTGGAAGATTCAGTTAACCCATGGGAGATTGAGGTGGTTGATAGCACTTTGGTTGATAGCACTGCTCCTGCAAAGAAAAGAGGACGCAACGACATCACAATGTTTGGAGTTCAAGAAGAATTACAAAAATGAGATGTTTGTGACCGAAAGTTGGAGATGATTGAGATGTTATGACGTGTGATTGATATGTTTACAACATATAGCTTTTGACGGTTTTGGTGATATATTTTTAGATGTAAATGTTGGATGTTATGCTCTCAGTTTTTTTCTTTGGATGTAAAGTTTTTTTTTGGGGGGTCAAACGATTGAGATGTTATGACATGTGATTGAGATGTTTACAACATAGCTTTTGACGGTTTTGGTGATTTAGATGTAAAATGTTGGATTTTTGTATAGGGTTATCTTCTCAGTTGATACTGTTCAAAGTGCATCAAACTTCAACAACTCTCACACACAATCACTTGTGAACATTTCTCTTTAGATGTTAAGTCCGTTTCCTAATTTCTCTGATTTGTAAAAGCTCTTAAACCCAAACAATATTCCTTGAACAGTTAATTTCAGTCACTATACCTTGAAACAAAAAAAAAAAAAAAAAAAAAAAAAAACAAAGATTGAAAACTTAATTAAACCAAATTCTAGGGCTCGGTTCATCTAATCTTCACATGGTAACTCGAAACGGCACAATGGACACACATGATTGCGGGCAAACCAACCGAGGATACAGCTATCGCCAAACTCGTGTCCACAGGGTAAGGTCACGACGCTTTCTCCCATTTTAAAGCCATCCAAACAAACTGTGCACATGTTGGAACCGGACAACGTCTTTTTGTATACTTTCCTTGGCAACGAGTCAACCGCAAACTTACTTGCCGGCTTAACCGGGATATCGATGGTATCCTCACCAAATGAGTGTACTTGCACATCCTCTTCAGGTATCGCCTCTTCCACTTCAAGTATCGGCACTTCCCCTTCAAGTATCGAGTTTTGCTCTTCCATTGCTCGTCGTGATCTATACATGTCGGCATAGTCTTCAGCCGTAAAAGGACCTCTAGACTTAAAGGTAATATACACTGACAAAGCACAATCTGGAGAGTAGTTAACGGAACGCAAAACATCAACGACGTGTCCAGTGAGTTTATACTTGGCACAAAGAACCTGATAGTGAGTGAGACATTCTTCGTCCTCTAAGCAACTCAGTTGTTCCCATCTATAATTCCACGAGTTATCCAAATGGAGCTCTTTGGCAGGCAAGGAGCAAACGAGTACTGTCGGCCAAACTATTCTAGGATATAAGGTTTCGGGCAAGACAATAGTCGCATAGACTTTGATTCTTCCCGCATCTTCAGGTTTAGGATTGTGCTCGATTTCATGCTTGATGAATACTTTGTCATTATAGAATTCCGCCATTACCAAATATCTATACGAGATGTGCTTTTAGGGTTTATTTTCCTTGTTGCGCAACGCTGTCATCCGTTTATGCATTATTTATAGAGGCAGTGGACAATTGTAGGGCTCGCAAGCCTCGCAACTAGGTTAGAATGGGATTTGACTGTGCTTTATTTCTTCAAATAAACTTGTTTAGATTTAGAAATTAGAAACTATCAATACTGTATTTAATTATTTATGTTTGAGATAAAGATATACTAATTATTTAATTTTAAATTTTAGAATTAGATAAACCTTTTGAAATATTTCAAAAAATTATGTAAATAGCTAGGAATAATTTTTTTTTTATCTTATCAAATCTGGAATTATCATCCAAAAAAAAAAATTAGTTAGAATTGCTCCTCTTTCTTATAAGCATAGCTTACAGTCCAAATTCTCTTCCTTATTTGCTTCATGGAGCTGCTGGTTAAGATCCTCTATCTCCAGTCTCCTTCATAGTGTTTGTTTCAGACTTTATCTTTTCATTGAGATAGAGATCCAATGCATCTGTTTGTATGCAGCTTGATGAATTCCTTTCTTATTATAGATTGCACTTCTAGATTCGCTTTCCACATGTTCTCCTATTTAAAATTGTTATGGCATCTCAATTCACCTCCTGTTGTATTAAGTAAAAGGATGATCATGCATGACCAATTGCATTCAAATTTTTAACTTGACTGAAATCATAAGTATTCGTGTGTGACAAGCTTTTGTGTGATCAATATAATGATAAAAAATACTACCGCAACAGAACGTGCAGTTGCGACATTTGATATACAATACAGTTTGGTAATTATTAGTTCCTTAGGTTTTTTCGGGATTCATTCGATGTACAATACAATTTGGTAAAATTTTATCCTGAGTACGACCATAGAGTAGTATCTCAATCACATTTCCAGTTTTTGCAATGGCCGTCACGAGACGCACTTGAACGGGTTTTTCTATAAAAAAAAAATTAATACTTTTATTGCTTTATTTATTTATTTTTCTAATTTAAATATTAGTGTAAATATAAATAGGATAATTTAGTCATTTAATATAGAAAGAAGTGTAGTTTTCAAAAAAGAAAATAAAAAAACAATGTATTTTTCACACAACAAAAAAAAATCTGTTTTTAAGATATTTTTCCAAATTTCCTCTTTTATTATTATGTCAAACATTGATAACCCCACGCAACACCAAAATATTGCATTATTGCAAGTTGCAAGAATTAGATCATTATGCCCATTTACATTGATTTAATAAGTGTCATGAGTCACGAGGTTTTCTTGAGGAAGTGAAAGACAACATCATTAGTATTAGGATTCGGATGATGCGTCTACAATTCTTGCTTATTTAGTGAGTCTTTTTGTTAGATATTTTCTACAAATTAAACTTATTTTCCCAATTAGTTGCACACTTGTACCAACCAAGACGTATAAAAATACAAGAATAATCAGAAAAGGAAAGCTAAAGTGGAGATGTCCCCTTCATGGTGGAACATTATGTTGGGGTGCTAAATAAATGGTGTACGCCCATTTTTAAAAATTACACAAATGGGCACATTTGGTGGCTTTTTCAACTTCAGACAAGGATAGTCCCAAAGTTGAGACCAATCCCTTAATTTCCCATTCCTTCTTGTCTTCATTTGGGCCTTCAATGTCAAAATCTCCCACCCCATGCATGTGTCTGAATCCATGAAAACTACATTTCTACTTTTTTTGTTTTTATCAGATTTTTTTCCAAATCGAAACCCACACTATCTTAAAATATGTTTGCAACACTCAATTTTTATATCGCTATGTTAAGAAAATCCACATCTCATCAGTGTTTTGAACTATCGCAACCAATCGAATAACAAACTTAAATAATAGATAAAAGACCATATAAAATATTAATTGATTGATTCACTGTATCAACTTTTTGTAATTGAAGAATTGATGCCAAAAAAACTATACATAATTCTAGTTATTTACTATGATATCGTCAGTAGTTAAATTTGCTCTATTAAACTATATGTTGTTCCTAGAGAATTAAAAAGTCCTCGAAAAGTTCATCTTCAATTCTTCCTAAAGATGCTATATATTGATGCCATGTATATCGACGTGTTAGTCGTACACCAAAAAAATAAAATACTTATTCATATATGTATATATATTGCTTGATATTTATGTGTACTACTAATACTTTTTATTGATTTAAGTTGGTGAATTAGACCCGATGTCTACACGAGGATGTGTCGTGTGTCTTCATTTATTCAAATCTAGCTGTGTGGTTTAAGTATTTAACAAACAACTAACCATACTATAATAGCATATAATAGCACTAATAAAGGAACCCTAATTGTAGGTGCATATACGTATGTATCAATGTATGTACGTTTATATGTATGTATTTATGCATGTTTTTATTTCTATGTATGTTTCATGTATGAGGTTTCATATTATGTATGCATGCAGAGTTTTGTCAAAAAAAAAAAATCCAAATGAAGCGGTTTTAACTTATTTTGTTTTGCCAATAGACAATGCGATTACATATACAAAAGTCGATTAATTATTGATAGTGACTGTCCTGACTGGTTTACTACATGCATTGCAGCCATATATTCAATTACTTAACTGTAACATTCCAAATAGTAGTAAAAATCATCAATAAAAATAGTCATAAACTAGGTAATAACCCGCACCCTGTACGGAGTAGAATAATTGTTATTTATTTATATTTAATATAATTTTAAAATTATATAATATAATATAATTAAATTAATATAATATTATACAAAGATAATGTAATAGTAATATATATTAATTTAAAAATTAAGTAGCATGCATAACACATGATATAGATAGGTAAAAAATATGAAGTTACCAAACAGATTTTCAATATCCTGTAATTGATGATATTATTCATTATTTTCACCAATGTCCAAGATTTGGATATACAATTTATGTATATATTTAATTAATTTTGACTCTTAAATAATTAAATACTATTAGTTAAATAGTTTGTTATTTATCTATTAAATATTATTAGTTAAATAAATTAAAACATTTTCTTAGTCCCAAATTGGACTTATTTAAAATATGATACAAATCGATAAGATAATATTTTTTTAAAAAAAATCTATATAAATATATGGTCCATTAATATCATAAATTAATAGTTACCATAAAATAATCTTATATAAAAATATAACTATGATCATTTACTAAAATATGAATATATAATGATTTGTTTTTTTTTTAAAATTGAAATAATGTTATGGTTTATCTACAATTTAAAAGTGAAGTATTTAAAGATATTACTAACTTTTAAAACAAATACAATTTTTAATTAATTATTAATAAATAATTTATTTAGTTCCAAACCGATAATTTTATAAATTAAGAAAATATTGAAATCACAATATTATCAATTTATAGAATTTTCACAGTAATTAAATTGATTGATTTAAAACAGACAAACTAAGAAACAAAAACATGAACAAATCTTGCTGAAAATTTGATACTATATATGTTAAATCAAACATTAATTAAAAAAATAAACAATTAATATTGATATTATCATAGTATGATCTCTTGCCAAAAAAAAGTAAGCAATAATGCTATATACCATATTTGTCATCTAAGAATCATATATAAATTAAATCATAATACAATATATCATATTTTCTTATATAGTAAATTTGAATATTAAATAATATATATCATCATAATTTTGAAAATTCATCATTTTCTTTTTAATTGATGTTTGTGATAAAAATAACATATATTTTTAATTTATATTTTGTATATATTATTATGAATTGTTAAAAGATATTATATATGTTTTTACAGTTATTTTCATGCATGCTATAATTATAACAATATGTGAATAAAATCATTATGATTTTCTTTTATTTGTTCTGATTGATTTTTGAGAAAATAAAATATTATCTTTAATTATTCTGTTGTATTTATAAAAATATTTTTAGTAAACAATTAATAAACATATTTTTGAGAAAAATAAAATATTATTTTTAATTATTATGTCGTATTTATAAAAATATTTTTAATAAATAATTAATAAACATATTTTCTAATAAAAGTAGTAAACATTAGTAAAGTGTTATATATTTGTTATGAATTTGAGAAAAATAAAATATTATTTTTTAATTTTTCAGTTGTTTTTATAAAAATTTTGTTTTATAAATAATCAATAAAAATATATTTTTTTAAAAGTAGTAAGCATAAATAAGTATAATATATTTACTATGAATTTGAGAAAAATAAAATATTATTTTTTAATTTTTCAGTTATTTTTATAAGAATTTTGTTTTATAAATAATCAATAAAAATATAATTTTTTAAAGTAGTAAGCATAAATAAGTATTATATATTTTACTATGAGTGATAAAAATAGTAAATATTAAAAAAATATTATATATTTTATTATAAATTTATAATAAAAAATATAGGGATAGTATTTTTAAAATATTATATAATAAATTTCATGTATATTATATTTAGTATTAAATAAATTTTATTTTATTAAATTATTGTTTCTAATATTATTGCCTTTGAATTCATTTAAAAAAAAAATATAACATATTTATAGACCTAAAATATACAATGGCATATCATATAATTAGTCTAGTAATCTAAGTCCTTTTTTTTTAAATAGCTGAGAATGAATATGGGGTTAACACATAAGCAAAATAGCACAATTGTAATATTCTACAAATTTAAAGTTTCTCTTTAAAAATGCTTCTCTTCTAATATATAGGAGATCAGTTAGCAAAAAAAAAAAAAAAAAAAATAGACATGACATAAACAAGGCGGGGAGGTCGCTGGGACAATCTTATACTGTATATCCTTGGTAATGTTATTGACCAAAGCAGTTAAGTGGAATAAACACATAGTATATAACTTTATAAAGAAAATTGACAATCTTTGTGATATTTAAATTTTAAAGAAGGGAATATTAGGCATGCCACGATTTGACAGACACTTAGCTGCTACTCAGCCTACTCTCAACCCTCTGTCCTTTTCTTATTCTATTTTTTTATTTTATTTTAATACTGAACATATATAGTAAACTATATCAAACTTATATCATAAAAATAAAATCAAACTTTTTTTCTTGTTCATAATAAATCAAGCTCCATTCCTTTTAGTGCCTAAATAAATTACGTATGATCAATGTCTACAATTCTTCAAAATCCATTAAAACATAACAATCACACAAGTTTAGCCAAACATTTATCTTTTTTGTTGGCTATTTTTTTTCTCTAAACGAAATTAATGTTTCATTTTGTATACTCAATTTCGAAAACATATTTTGAATCAGATCATTAACTAATGATTAAGTGTTTTGCAAAGCGCGAATGTTTCTTAAGAAAATATTAAACTTATCTCTAGCTTCCGAGTATTTTTTTTCTACGACAACTTATGATCTCTTTAAAAGCAGGAAAAATGAAAGTTGGTCCCAGTGATTTGTTTTTTTTTTTTTGTTAAAGAACAAAACTTTGACCAAGATTACAATACATATGATTTGTCAGGGTGTTCTTAAACAAAGAATATTACTTAGGGATCTAGGACCGTAGGATCTGAGAGAATGGGAAGATTTATTATGATGACATGTTAGTAAATTGGGGCCTAAACCAATTAGTTGCAACTTTTAATTATTTTATTATTAAATATTTTCTAACATTGACATTTGTCTCTCTCACTCTACACCCTATTGGTAGGATTTCATATTGTTCATAGATATGTCAGCTTTTAACATCTAGTGGATCTGTGAATAGGATATCATGTGACTCATGTCTAAGCTATTTATTTACAATAATTTTTTCCTAATGCACATTAACATTTTATTTTGTAACAAAGGTTGTTTATTATTACCAATGAAATCAATTATATGGACTATGGAATAATGGAATGTACTAGTATTAAACTTCAACAGAAACAATAATTGTGTACTGTTTACTTCATAAAGAGTTTTTACGAGAGAACATATAAAACTTCTTATAATGTAAACTATACTTTTCAACATAACTAAAATACATTATTATGTAAAGTCCGACAAAACAACTTTGAAAAATTAGAGAGAGAATTATCGACAATGCAATGTGGATTGTTGATTAGATTGGAAAATAAATCTAAAAAGTGTACGCAATGAAAGAAATCTATGAGAAACAAAACAATATCAGTCTTCTCAATTCTCGTACTTTATTTTTTGTCAAAAATGTGACTTTGATTTGAATGACAGTCGTATATACTTTGTGAAGCTATCACATACATTATACGCAATCGATCCGAAGGTTAGAAACTAGGGATCAAAATTGTCACTGTGAAAATGAGACTTGCGAGATTAAAGAGAACACATTTTTGAAAAGATTTCGTAAAGAAGATAAAGAATGTGAAGAAAAGACATGTGGTGTTCTCCTTCTGGCTTTCTCTACTTTTCATGAAAACAGCCCAAATTTCAACTCTTCCTTCTTTGACCATACAAAGTTACTGTTAAACTATTTAGTATTACTGTTCTCCATAAATCAATTGATTCTAAAAATCAAAGTATATTTCTACATGTAAAGATGTATTGAACAAATTTATTCACCGGAAAATATTGGACCCCTTAACTTTAGATGGTTAAAGAGGGATCCCATATGTGACTGAGAGAATTCAAAAAATAGGGATTAACTTTTTTCATTTCATTTAAACATTCCTTTTTTGTGACTTATATATAGTAGTATCTTTTATTCCACATTTTTCAAATTTACCAAAAACCCAATTTCATTTTCTTTTCCATTGTAATTTCTTTGCAGCCTATGTACTAAAAATCTATATTCACATATACATATAATCAATATCGCTCACCACAAAAATAAATAAAGCATCCCACCCAACCCAAAACTTTGATCGATCATCTCAAAGATATACAAAATAAAAATCCAAATCACCTTTCGTCACCTTTTTGAGATTACCTTTTTACCCTTCTCGACGCAGTCATTTTTTCACATTTCCCGTGCGTATGTTAGTTAAAGTCCTTAGCCTTCTTAAATCTTCAGCATCATCATCATCTCTAGCCGTCTTCGATGAAGATCCTACTGATGAAATCTCTGAACCTCTTGGAATAGAGTTTAGGATCAACGGCTGAGATTGAAGAAGGATCGGCTTGTAAAGACTTATACGCATGCTCGATCTTCTTGGTTATGTCGTAGTCTTGCAAGATGTCAATGACTCCAAAGTAGAGAACCACTTCGTACATCTCACCGTGAGATGTATAATTTGCTCCTCCTCCTGATGTATACTGATCGAAATCGCTTCTCCGAGCCATTCGTTCCGCTCTTGCTGGCATGTTCGCGCCTAATCTGATCGATGGCTTCCTGTAACAAAGCAGATTTTGAGTTTTTAGAGTAAAAACGATGAATTATTGATTGATTCTTTATAGAATTTATGAGTAAACAGGACCACATGATCTGTTTCACACCTCACTAGTTTGCCAACTAAGTTATTGTATCATTCCTACATTCTAATTAATACTAATCCGATAAATCTTTGAATCTCACAACCACTCCATGTCTCTGCAATAATCAAAGGCTATAAATGCAAAAAAGCTTCTTCCTTCTCTGTGAAGTCAACTTCTTAAGCATTAAACAATGAGACCCGGATAAATGATTGTCACAAATATAAATGTTTATGTTACCTTCCAGCTAAAATCCGGTCCATGTCTTGAAGTTCAGCCTCTAGGAAGCGACAACCTCGCATGAACTTCTCGTTCTGATATGAATCTATCCTACCTGCACAAGATATTGACATGAATCTCACAGACAATGTCGACTTCAATGGTGGGGGACACGGATAGAGAATGATGTCTAAAATTTACCAGATCTCAAAACGAATGGAGAAAGCCCCATCTTTTCTCCTGTGTTGTCATCACGGAAGTGAACACCAACTAAAAGGCTATAATCCATTATTCTCTCGGCTTCCAAGAACTCACAGTCGCGTTTTATTTGCCTGATAATGGATATACCGATCAGCGTTAGACACACAATTTTTAGACTGCTGAGAATGGTACAAGCAAAAAAAAAAAAACTTTAGTAAGCATGGAGCTTACTTCATAAGCTCTTGATACCAGTTTCTCTGAAGACGGAAAGCAAAATTAAGATCAAGGTCCTTGAGAGTCGTGGTCTCATCAATTTCACCTTCAGGCTTTGCAGTACTCCGTCCATGGGAAGAACCTTTGAGGTCAAACCGTCTCTGGATTCTATACTCGGAGCAGAACAAGTTTCCCATGACGATAAACCGAGTCTGACAAAATCGTAAAACAGAGGATGGTAAATTTTCTGGAAACTAAAAAGACCCATTAAGTTTTAGATGAACAAGACATTACCTTTTGGCCACCAACGGGTTTCACACAATGAACACCGTAGAATCTAGTCACGAGGGAGTTTTCGTATTTGCAGACATGTTTGTAGTAGCTTGGAAGCATTCTTAGAAGCACCTAAATACAGAAGAAGACAAAAAGCTTCAGGTCAAATTTCATTTAGCTAATCACACAGACTTAGTGGAGTTTATGATTGAGAAAGTTAATGTGAAAGCAAAGAAACAAACAGACAAAAAGGTGTGACTCAACCGCTAATTAAGTAAAATCAACTTGTTCCAGACAAGCGTTTTCAAAAATGACAAGGGAAAGGAAGTCAAAGAAAACAAGAAGGCAACAACAACTACTAACCTTGACTTCCGATTTCTTCACGGTCTTGATCATAAACCTATCATCTTGAGTTAGGTAAAAGAAGCTACCACTCTTTCCAGGTGAAGATAGTTCCCTAAGAGCATCGTTTCCACATATAGCTAGCATATACTCAGCTGGATCCACTTGGAAAAGATCCCTGAGACGTCTACAAACAAAATTTCCCAAAAAAGAAACACATGAATCTTATCAACTAAACTCAGGTTTGGGTAATATACACATCACAAAGCCTAAAACACAACTCAGCAATTTGCTAAATTTAAACACTTTTTGAGAAAAGATTAAAAAAAGATACCTGAACACCAAAGGGCAATAATCCTTCCACCGGAAATCAACTGACTGATGCGGCGGCGTCGTCTTAGTACCTTCCGGCGGAAACCTTGTCCAAAACTTCTCCTTTGGATCGAAATCAGTCTGTTTGAGATCTCGAACAATCGACGCATGTTTGCCAACAGAATACCTAATTTTCAATCACAACCTTTCATCAGAACAAAACATAATCAAGTTATAACCAAAATCCAATTCCATTTCAAATTTGAGAAATTCTACCTGATTCCTAATTGCAAATTCAGCATCAGATCGTACTTCTTATGCCCTTTAGATATAGTCTCTCCAGGTTTCTTCGCCTCACCGTTAAACCAGCAAGGGTTCTTCTTAAACTGGCGAAACCCGTCACGGTCCACAGAGATCCTGTCTCTGTAAATCATCGACGCTTCCACATTATCAATGATGTCACAAGTGATATCCCCAGCTTCTCCATCAGATTCCCATATACAGATTCTCGGGAAAATCTTCTCCCCTCCCACGCTCCCAGCTCCACTATCAACGGAAGATCTCTTCCTCGTCGCCACAATCAAATCATTCTTCTCGATCCCGTTGAAGAAGTTCCTCATGATGTTGCTCTGATTCCAAGCTCCGACGCAGGTGCTTCCATCGGCCCAAGTGAACACTCCGCTTCCTTTAGGGATTCCGTTCTCCCATTGACCTTCGTATCGATTCCCATTCGGCCAAACGAGCAAACCTTTCCCGGAAATCACGCCGCTGCGCCACTCTCCGGTGTACTGGTTCCCGTTTCTCCACACGTACCGACCTCGGCCGTCTTGTAGATTCCGCCTCCAGGTGCCTTCGTAGAAATCTCCGTTGGCGTATCGCTTTTGCCCGTGGCCGTGTTTCCGATCGGCGACCCAAGTTCCTCGGTAAGTATCTCCGTCGGCGCCGGTGAAAGTCCCGAATCCTTCCATTCTACCGGATCTGAATTCGCCTTCGTAAGTCGCTCCGCTCGGCCATGAGAATTTGCCTTTCCCTGAAGCTTTCCCTCGCTTCCAGTCGCCTTCGTACATGCATCCGTCTTTCCAAAGATACTTCCCGGATCCGTGCGGAAACCCGCCGGAGAAGCTCCCCAAGTAGAGATCCCCGTTCGGAAGCGGCTTCTCAACATCCACGAGCGGCGTGGGAGTCACGCGCCTCGTGGCTACCTGAGATCTCGATCGCACCATAGGAGGTTGAGCTAGCAACACCGAACCGTCTCGTCTCTCTCCTTCTTCTTCTTCTTCTTCCTCGTCTCCTTCACCCAAACGCAGATGCTCTCTCCTGCACAGAATATCCTCCTTCTTCTTATCAACGACGCTGCTCAAATACACTTCAGTAGCTGCTTCTTCTTCGCTCGGAAGCGATTCACGCATCATCTACTCATCAGGCAACCTTCACTCCACCCCACTCACAAATACACAATGTTCTTCAATCTCCGAGAATCCGAAAATGACATTCGCGCAAGTTTGCATCTAGGGTTTACCTATTTCTCAGATTGCGGCTAGATCCGCCGTAACTAAAGTAAAACCTCAGTGGAGTTAACACACATTCTCCGGCGGATTTTCAATCAGAAATGAGCTGAAAAAAAAGAATAGCTGAAAAAAAAGCTTAGGGATTGTCGATCAGATTCACAAGTTTCTAAATCTGAGAAGAAACCTTGTGAGATTCGCTACAAGAACATAAAAAGGAGAACAAAAACATCAAGAAAAAAGGAAAAAAAAAAGAGAGGGAGAGAGAGAGAGAAAGGTAACAGAGACAGAAGAGAGATAGCAAAATAAAACACTCGAAATTTTTATAAATAAAAAGTTCTGTAACCAGAAAACAAAAATAATATTAGGGCAATTTAGTAAAAATCCAATTTAAAAAAAAAGGAGGTAGAGAGAGAAACCATCGGGAAGCGGACACAAAAAGCCCACCAGTCCGAAAAAAGAAACCACAATATTATTTAAATAATAACGCTTTAATAAATAATCTAAAAACGACGACGTAGACGTAGTGTCTCGTGTGTAAACATAAAAATACACTCGAGATAGTTTCGAATTTGTCTTTGTATGATTTTAAAAAAAGCGAGGTGTCCCGCGTAGTATGGGACTACGCATACGTAATATACAAAACCCACGTAGAGACCAAATGATTAGTTATGGTCTACCTCTGTTTATTTATTTTTATTAATAATCACCCATTTTTTTTATATATAAAGAAGAATGATTATGATGAGGATTATCGAGAAATCTTGATTAGTAAGCGAATTTCCAGGTGATTGTGTTTGATGGCTACTTAATTACTAGAATAATTTAAAATTTTAATTTGTTCTCTTCTGTGATTAGATGATCGCTGGCTTTGGTGGGTTTTTCTTTCCGAGTTTTGATGCTCTTCCTTGTCTCTTCTACTTCCGATGATTAATTAATATCAACTTACATTATTCGGATTTGTTTTTTTATCACGTATTAAAGTTATCTGAGGCAAAGGTCTCTCATATTCCCATAAGGATAGTGACAGATAGAGAAGCCTATAGATACAAAGTTTTGGAAATTTTAAAGTTGCGTTTTTTTTGTCTTCGTGACAATGTATGTTTGCCAAAAAAAAAAAAATATATGAAGAAAATATACTACGAAAGTAGTCATTTTCTCTATTCAATCATACTAAAACCCTAGCAATTCCCTATAAAACCAAATGAATATTTTTATTACTAGTCTTTTTCTAATACTAATAATTTCTTAGATCTATTTTCAATAATTATTTTTTTTGAAATTTACAATTTATGGTAATTTTTAAATAAATATACATACATTAATATTTTTTAACTACCTCTATAAAACAAGTTTTTTTTTAAAAGAATTTTCTTCTTTTAGAAACAAAAACATTAATTACGATATAGTGGGAAAGGTCCGAGAGTGAATGGCTGAAGGTATTTTCCCATTCAATTCATACGCCATGATGAGTTGGTACACTACGCCATACTATGTTCCATATTCAAGGCATCTCACAGCATTAGCAAAATCATTACCCTTCGCTATAATCTTATTTATTTTATTAAAAATCTAAACTCTACTATGCTTTGAAATCGCTAGTTAAACCTAAAAGCCTACGACCTTTTTCCGATTCTTCGAGATCATTTATTTAATACAGTACATCACCCTTTCGTTAAATCACCTAACTGCTCATGAATAAGTTTGAACTTTAATTTATTTTCTAAAAATAAATTTGTTGATCTAACTACAATACATAATCACTTTGTGATTTAATCTAAAACTAGGATATTGGCCCGCACGCATGTGCGGGCATGAATGATTTTAAAAATATAATTATTTAAATACAATATTTAAATCCATTTTAAATATTTTGATTTTTTGTAATATATGAAATTCAAAGTCAGTGTTTTGAATTATAAGAGTTTAAATTAAATAGTAAAATATGATCTAATTTTAACTAAATATTTTGTTATAACCAAAAATTCATTTATATTTTAAGACAGACTTAAAAAATAATTATTAAATTTTTAAAAAACAATAATTAATTTTCTATGATCAGGCTTATTTTAAATGTCAAATGGGTCAAATCCGTAGATAGTTGGTTACCTTCTTCGGATTTGCGGATCAGGCTGCAAATTTTATCTTCTCTGCCTTTTTTTTTGAATAAACGTTTTTCATTTTCTTTATCTTTCTATAATCTTCCTCAATTTAAAGCATTATTTCTTCAAGAATTCCGTCATTGTTGGTCTCGATCTACTCATATGTGCGATTTTTCTACTTATAATTTTATCAAGTAGACTCTACAAATAATTGCAAGATCATCTCCACTTAAACATCAAGTGTTTCAATTAACCATATTGCAAGACATGTTTCAGCGAAGGTTGGATATAAAACTCTGTTTACTGTCATAATATCTTCAAAACATACTGGTCTTCTCTGAACATTTAGCAACATTTTAGGTAGAAAAACTCACCATATTCTTCTGAGACTTCTGGAAGGCTAATATCGTAGGGAACATTGTTTTTTCTGTTGCGAGGGAGCCACTTTTTAAATCTTTTATGCCAAACTCATTTGTTTGGAAATTCAGTATAGCGATAAAACCTTGCTTCATTACACTCACGATTAGAGTGATCTATACAACCTTCAAGTTTCATTTTTGCCATATTTGATTTAGATAAATGGATTGATAGAATTGTAATGCCCGCACTTTGAGTTAGGATTTGATTTATTTATTAGGGTTTGATTTGTTTAATACTTATGTGTGTTGTGATGTTTTCTTATATAGAGATCCAAGTATTTAACTTTTTCATTAGTTATTTGGGATGAACGTATGTTTATATGGATCTTTTTGATTTTTATTAAATGGATATTAAACTTTTCAAATAATGTATAGGTAATGATTTTGGTTTTTCATTAGATGCACGTTGATCTTTTAGGATATTCAACGTTTGTTACGAAAAATAATGTAGAGGATTATTAAATCGAAAAATAATGTAGAGGATTATTAAATCGAAATCTTATATTTATATTTGTTATTATTTTTAAACTAAACTAATCTTTTTAAATTTTGAATGTTCTACAGAAGATCACAATAATATTTTATTCTGTTATTATAATTTCGCCAACTAAAGTATGTGAAAACATATGTGCACGTAAATGGAGCACGCTTTTACAAAAAGTATGAATTATTTGGTAAATGATTTGATCAATGTGATTTTGTTATTATAATTTCGCCTATTGAAGTATATAAAAATATATGTGCATGTATTCCATATGAATATAGTATTATAATATATATATATGTGTGTATCTATATGGAAAGGCACAGTGGTCTATGACAGAGTTATAGTAAATTTAATAAATCTATAGTATTGTAATATATATATTTATATATGTGTATTAAAATCATCACGTTCAGCCCAAAATTCATCTATTATTATCCATATAAATTCATAAACCACATGTGTTAGTAAATGTCATGTCACAATTACATTATTATTACACATCATCATTTCCATATCACATTTAATTAGGATAGAGAAAATATTTTAACCAGTCAAATTAAAACAAATCAACATTTTTCAGTAAACTACATTCTCAATTAATAGGTAGAGGATCAGTCTACTGACAATTTGGTTTAATTAAAAGTCCCTAGAGGAGGATTGTTAATTAATAAGTCATAAACATTATCCCGTACTGATTTCTAAACCATTATATATCAACAGCGGAAAAAACTTCCATCAGTTTTTCAAAATAATGTTGTTTTATGATTTTAATGTGATTGTTAATAAAAAGCTTCTAATTTTTTCTAATAAAAATTAATAAACATGGAAAACAGAATATAAGCCTCGACTTATTTTTCGCGGATATATATAGACAACGTTGTTCTATTGTTGGTCATCTACTAAATCAAGAGGATTTATAAAATCAGGTTTTTCACAAACTAAAAGTTGATTAAATGATTCCTGATTTTGAAAGAATTTATTTACAATTTGTCTTTTTTGGAACAAATTTTCCTTACAATTTGTCTGATGTAAAAAAAAATAGTGGCACAATGATTTGTGTTTAGGCAAAATAGAAACATCAATAATCTTATGTCGAAATCATTGAAAGTATATTGTCACGAATAAACATTGAAGATTGCCATTAAAAGTATATTGTCATGAATTTGGTAAAATGACTTGTTCTTAGTTTACTGCTAATGATGTTATATCTTCCGTGCATTCAACCATCATATGGTTTATACTAATTAAACCAAATTAACGGGCCGGCATCAAGAACATGAAATCATGTATGTAGCAACACGTACGTACATTTTTTTTATAAACCAATTATAATAATTACTCATGCAGCTTTAATGTATATCTTAAACTCTTAGTCAAGATGTTAAATTTTAGTTTTGAAATGCCAATATTTATAACAAAACATTGAATAATATAACGTATGTTATGCATCATGCATCGTACCTCAACAAAAATAATCAAACACGAATACATCAGATGGAATATATCTAAATTGATAATATACAGAATTACAGATGATTGTATTACGTGTTTAATTGGCTACGTAACGCAGGAAGGAAAATGTGTTCAGATTCGATGTTCTATGACATTTATATGTTTATTGATCAGCATAAGTTTTTTATTTTGTTTTAAGAATGCATGGCTGTAATGTAACTACATACGACGTTGTTAAAAAAAAAAAAGAATAAGTAAATAAAATAATTAGACAACAGTCCTTATCAATAGGGGTGGGCACGGATCGGATATCCGAAATTTTTTTAGTATTTGTGGTTTGTTCCGTTTTTAACGGATATTTAATTTTATGATTTGATTTGCTCCAGAAATATACGGATATCCGGATTTTCGGATATCCGGAAAATTTACTAGTATTTGCGGATATTT